ATACAGATCTATTATCCCATCATCCATTTTTCCCTCTTTTTTTCCAAAAAAAATCCTGAGCTTATAAAATTCCTCCCCCAACCCTCAACTGTATACCAATTATAATCAACCCCTAAATGATGTCCCTAAGCCTGAGGACAAACCTGGGAGAGGGGACATCATCCTCTAGAATTACTTCCAGCTGTCATGAGGCAACGTTCTTTCTAGGGGATCCTGTGAAAGTAAAATGATGGTTAGAGTTCAAGATTAATGAATGTCTGGTAAGATAGCAAATAGTCTCTGAGTATTTTGTCTAGGTCTGGCCAGAATATTGTAAAAGATGTGCACCATTTCAGCTAACCAAATTGGAACCATCTTGTGTAGCTGGTACCCAAAACAGGTCTTGTAGTAGCGTTATCTGTATCATGACATCATATCAACCAGATGGAGTTGTTGTTATGGGGCCCCATCTTCTTCCTGGAAACTTCAAAGATTATTGCAGGAAAGTTCATTGTTCATTGTGGAAAACTTAAACATTATTTATACAGACATATACAGACTTATATATTCAATGAAAGGTATGATAGATATGAAGAAAAACAAAGATGTTTTCTAAATTCTTTTTTCCTACTGTCCCATATCATGGCTCTTGACATGAGACAGAAACTCTGGATTTTTCTCTTAACAACAAGCTTGGAACTAGAGAGGTACTGAGCCAGAGTCCAACTCCAAAACCAGCTCTATAAATTTAGAAATATAAATACATATATATGTGTGTATATATATATATATATCTTTGATTTTTATACTTACAGAACCTATTCGGTTTTCTTGATGATCCCTATTGGGTAGTTATTTTTCCAACTGCCAATATTCAAATATCCAGGATCCCTTGAATTTTTTGAAGATGTTTTCCTGCGAAGACAAGAACAGAACCCTGCCCCTGTCCTGTATGTTTTTCTTACCACCTGTATGATTATCATCATTGAGGATGAGCTGTCATTTCTCCTTTCCAAGAGGTTTCTCCTCTTCAAACTGAACCTTTATTAATTTTGATGGTATCCACAATTTTTCTTCTCCTGTGGAAAAAAGAGACAAAGAAAAGCTGAAAGAAATAGTTATATAATTATAGCTATATATTTCTGTATCGTTATATGAGGGTTTAGTTATAGTGAAACCATTTTTTATTGGAAATAGATTTTTTCCATACAATATATTCTGATTATGGTTTCCTCTTCCCCCAATTCCTTCCAGATCCTCCCCACATTCCCATCCACCAAAATTTAACTGGAAAGAAGCTTATAGTTAAAGTGATCATATCAGAAATATAAGCTTGATCTAGACAAATCTGTCCCCTTCCTCATTGTGATGTACATTTGTCTTTGTCTTGGTTAGCTGGCAGATTGGCATCAGTTACCCCTCCACATGGAGGAGATAACAGCGTACCAACCCAAGGCCCCAGACCGCTGAAGAAATGAACCTGTTTGGGTGGCTCACAAGACTCAGTGGGTGGAAATGCAGGGGATATGGGACAGCATCCCCAAGTAAGGGAAGAACAGAAAGACAAACTTCTGGAGCATCTTTATTAGAAAAGACAGCAGAACCTGGTGTACCAGAGTATCTGTAAGTCTATGGACATCTCAGTTATTATGAGTCACACTGAATGGAAATTCCCACATCTTCTTGTTGCATAACACTGCCTGTTTTTATAGATTTAGATCAGAAAGTATTCTTTTTGTTGTGTGCAGTAACACCCCAGTTTTCCATGAGTTTGATGTCTGTAATTTTGAGTGTAAGGATCCCCAAAACACCCTTCCTGGTTCTCTGTAGTTGAATGAGGGTCACAGACAGTCTAGTCTTAGGTGAAGATGAGCTAAGGTGGAGATTAACTAAGCAGAATAAAAGAGAGAACTTTCAGTTCACAGGACAGTGACATTTCATAATCTAAACCACACTTGACACTGTGTAAGCTGTCACTCCTGTGCTGTTGGAAAGCTGTTTTAGACTCAAGGTTGGTGGGCCATGCCAGGAAGAGGTTGGTTTCTTAGGATCTCCTGATGTTTTCCTGTCCCAAGCATACCCAACAGGCCTCAGAACAGATACAACTGCATATGCTAAGTATGTAATGTTCGGGAATAGTGATTCTTTTAGGCCCAGCAATCCCCTATAGCAATAACACTTAACACTTTGAGCCCTTTGAGACCGAGTGGAAATTCCCGCATCATCTTGTTGCATAACACATTCTATTTTATAGATCTGAAGCAGTAAGCAAGTCAGAAAGTATTCTTTTTGTTAAGTGCAATAACACCCCAATTTTCTGTGGACTTTCATTGACTTTAAAACCATTGATTTGTAGTTGCTGACTGGAGAACGATTTTAGTACATTGAATGTTGTTGTTCCTGCAGGTGGTATCTGTTGAGTTTCAGATATTTGTATAGAGAGTATAGATTAGTTAAAAGATAAAGTCAAATATTTAGTTTCTTGTGTGAGACCATGTAAAACATTGTTGATATATTTTTTTTTTTTTTTTTTTTTTTTTTTTTTTACCTAGTAGCGTTGGCAGTGTCCTTTCAAAATTACCCAGTGGAATTTTTCATGACTCTTCCCATAAATAACATAGTGCCCTCTGAATAATGGTTGTTGTTTTGTTTTATGCTTAGATTGAACTCAGGGCCTCAGGTATGCCAGCCAAGCACTGCACCACTGAGATGTGCAATTTTTAACTTGCAGAATAACCACCCCCATCCCTCCATTTTCATATCAGTGTCAAGTAAAGACCCCGGGCCTCGATGATCTTGTCTGCTTCCAGTTTCCAAAAGTTGGGAGCCTGGGGGTGGGGGGAGTAGTGGAAAGGGGAGAGAAGGGAGGAGAGGGTTAGGGAGACCTTGGGGGAGTGGGATAGTTGAGATGGAGGAAGGACAATATGGGAGTAGGAAGGAGATATCTTAATTGAGGGAGCCATGTTGGGGTTGGCAAATGGCTTGGCTCTAGAGGGGTTCCCAGGAGTCTATGGGATGACCCCAGGTAGGACCCTGGACAGTGGAGGAGAGAGTGCCCAAACTGGCCTTGTCCTGTAGTCAGACTCATGACTATCTTGAATTTCACCATAGAACCTCCATCCAGCAACAGATGGAGATAGAGACAGAGACCCACATGGGAGCACTGGACTGAGCTCCCAAGGTCCAGTTGAAGAGCAGAAGGAGGGAGAATATGAGCAAGGAAGTCAGGACCACGAGGGGTTGGTGCACCCACTGAGACAGTGTGCCTGATCTAATGGGAGCTCACCAAATCCAGCTGGACTGGGAATGAACAAGCATGGGATGAAACTGGACCCTCTGGATGTGGCTGACAGTGGGGGCTGACTGAGAAGCCAATGAAAATGGCACTGGGATTTGTCTCTGCTGCATGTACTGGCTTTTTGGGATCCTATTCTCTTTGCATGCATACCTTCCTAAGCCTGGATGGAGGGGGGAGGGCCTTGGACTTCCCACAGGGCAGGGTGCCTTGCCTTCTTAAGACTGGAGGGGGTAGGGTAAGGGGGGGTGGGGGAGCCGGAGGGAAGTGGGAAGAGGGGAGGAAGTGGGAATTTTGATTGGTATTATTTATAAAGTAATAAAAAAAAAAGAGGAAAAAAAAGACCCCGGGCCTCTAAAGACATAGACCTGTCTGGGTGGCTCACAAAAACCAGTGGGTAGGAAGAGTACAGGTAATGTAGTAAACTGGCAAGTAAGATATTTTTTTAAGGTGGCAAGGTTCTAATTGTGGAAGAATATTTTATTATATACATATTTCTTTGTATATATTCAGAAGTCAGCCAACTTCATGTGACTCTTCTTAACCATTTTATTTATGGGCTCAGAGTGTTTATTAGGGTTGGCTTTAAAAATATTGGACTAGGGTTATAGTTTGATGGTAGAATATCTGCCTAACATGAAAGATGCTCCAGTTTTAATCCCTGGTAACCCCAAATATGTAAATAGCTTTATTGACATTGTTTGGGTACTACAGAATTTGTTTATTTAAAGTACACAATTGCTTTTTAGTATATTCGTGGAGTCGTTCATCCATCACCCCAATTAACTTTAATGTCCTTTATAAAGAAAAGAGAAAACCAGGCTGAGTGGCTTAGTGGTTAAGAACACTTGCTCTTGTAGAGGACCCAGGTTCAGTTCCCAACACCCACATGATTTGTAACCATCTTTAACACCAGTTTTAGGAAATCTAGCACTCTCTTCTGACCTCTGTGGGTACCAGGCGTGCACATGGTATACATACATACATGCAGGCAAAGCACACATACGCATAAAATAAAATAATTTTTTAAGAAAAAAGTGGAAAAATGTTTTTTTTCTTTTGTCAGTTGATAACTTGCCACTTCTACTTTTCAGCATTTATGAACAATGCTGTTATGAACATTGTATGTAACTTTTCATGAGAAGGTCCAGTCCTTTTTGTTGACTCTGCTGATTTTCTCGAACACATCTGTGATATCACATCTAATGAGGCCTCCCATATGCCCTCCTACATAGCTTCTTCTGGTCAGATGAATGAATTATCTGGATTGCAGACATGGTAGCTGAGGTCCAGACAAGGCTGGTAGCTTTTTCTGATCTCATAGAGCTAGGAGGTGGATCAGGACCCGGAATTTTGTTCCTAGGCTCAGTGCCTTATCAACTGATTAGAATCATGAAGGCCAAAAAGACCTGAAGCCTGCAGTTTGCAGCTTGTGAAAGCCTGGTAGACTTTTTCTGTTTGGTGTTTCTTCTCTTTTAGACATTACAGCAGTTTGGTCTGGTCTAAAGGTTTGAAGAAGAACATAACAATTAGAATGTTCCTTAGAGGTTTTCTTATCTCCTAATTACATGAGCAAGGCATCTAAGATACAGAGAGTAGGAACTCGGGTCTCTCTGTGCTCTTTGTTCTCGAGTCCCCATCCACCTGCACAGGGAAACATTAATTGTGTAGGAGATTTAGGAAGGGTGATGGATGCCAAGCATTTTTGTGTCTCTTCTCTAATTAGAACCCAGTCACTGGGCTGTTATCAGCCAGCCATGACCAGAAGGATGCCTGGGTACGAGACAACATCTACAGCATCCTGGCTGTTTGGGGCCTGGGCATGGCCTACCGCAAGAATGCTGACCGTGATGAGGATAAAGCAAAGGCCTATGAGTTGGAACAGGTAATTGTGACTGACATCAGTGTCTTGTCTGCTCAGTACCTTCTCTTGAACTAGAAAACCGATGAGCAAATCATTGTATGTGCATAACAGGGTGCAGTCTTTCATTTCTGCAACAGCATACTTTGTGAAGGCATTCAGATGGTTGCACCTCACGTTTATCTTTGTGTTTGAGATAAAACAATAACATCACACAGCACATTAAATGGAAAGCAAAACCATCCAAATTTCTACCCCAACATGTTAATATGCCTACCTGGTTATATTTCTCTCTCATGGTATGATTATTTGTGAAGAGTCGATGCATAGCCATCCACCACATTTACCAACTCTTCACCCTGGCCACCAAATGAGAAAAAAAAATAGAAAGCAAAAAATCCAATGTTTCGGAGCTAGACATCCCAAAGCATGTGCTTTTTAGGGTAGGTGGTTATATTCCAAAGAATATTATCTAAATGCCGTTGCCATTGCTTAAAACAGTTCTTAAACGTCCTTTAAAAATGCCTTTCTACTTTGTACCATTCTCCAGGAAGTGAGTCTTACTTTTTCATACTCACCCTTTAGATCTGAGCATTATTTAAATTTTGTGTCTATGTTATTTGCCGTATAGCTCAATGAAGGTTTCCAAACTCAGAGGAAGGATGTAACCCAGTGCTAAAATGCTTACCTGGCATGCTAGCAGCCTTGGGTTTAATCTCCAGTACTGGACAAATATTTTCCAAATGTTTTGAGTAGTAGTGTTTAGGTAAGGAGCCCTGAAATGGAAAAGTATAATCGTCCTGGCATGAGAACATTTGAGATTTATCTTTCTACAGATGGAATTTAAGGGATGGGGACTGAACTTGGGGCCTCACACAAGATAAGCACACACCGTACCAAATGTCCTAGGATTTATCTTTAATTCATACATCCTTGGGCAGCCTTCATAGCTAGTGGATGATTGGGCCCAGTTGTTGCTTGTTTATAGTAACCCAAATGGGCATGAGTGATAAGCAGCATGAAGGAAATTTGATAACTGTGGGAAAGCTCAGAAAGGAAGCTTATCTCTGGGAGCAAAGCTTGGATTTGACCAGGGCTTGCTCAGTGTGAGGTGATGAAATCACTCAGCTTTTGAAGCATATAAAGTTTTTTAAAATTACAAATAGCAGTCACTGGCTGCTCCTCCAGAAAGAGGGATGGATGAGTGCACCAGTTATTTGCTGGTATAATAATTTTATGTCGAGTGTCTTGCAACTCTCCCATCATACATACATACACACGCACCACACACACACACACACACGCATGCACACACGCACACAATCACTAAGGTTGATTAAATTTTCTGTTCCTTTACTGAAACTCAAACAGACCATAATGTTTCATACTTAATGTCTTTTACTATTTGATGTGTGGTTAATAAACTAAAAACTGGGACTAGGCATAGTGGCACACACCTTTAATCCCACTACTCAGAGGACAGAGGCAGCTATATCTCTGAGTTTGAAGCGAGCCTGGTCTACATAGTGAGTTCCAGACCATCCAAGGCTGCATAGTGATACTAAATAAGTAAATACTAATGGAAATATCACCCTTGATTATGAAAAATAATAATCACTGGGCATCTTTGAGTAATATTTATTTAAGGGGTACTTGGGGCTTGATTAAGATTGTCTTGTGCATTTTGGGGATATTTCAGGACTCTAACCTGATTGTTAAGTTCCAATAATCCCCACCTCTGTCATTGTTCTGATTAGAATGCCCCACCGCACATTTCTAGGTGCTTCCCCATGACTGGTGATTGGCAGTATCAGTCCAAGTTGGAAGTCACTCATTTCTTTTCATGGGCAATACCTTTTCCTAGTTTGAGAGGAAGTCAGTTGACAAACGTGTATGTACAGTTAACCATTATAACAGTGCTAACTTATATTTGAGGTAACATCTTCTTCCCCAACAGATTTTGTAACAAAAAATGGAATTATCTTCTAGGATCCTAGGATTTTAGAGGAGGAAGGGTCTGCCTTCCAGACTCTTCCCTGGCCATGAACTCTCAGGCCCCTTTACTCTGCTGCCCCCTGTAAGGTATAGTGTGTGACATGATACACCCATGCCTGTAAGTAGAAACTGCTTTTAGTCCATGATATCTGATTATCTAGGTTCTGTTTTTCTACGCCCCATGTCATCACAGGGAGTTGAAAAATGTTACTTCATCTGCTTCAGGCTCAGGTTCCTCGTGTAGAGACTGGAGTGAAAATGCTACCCACCTTGTAAAGCTGGTGCTGGAACTCAAAATAATATAAATAAAATGTTTTTCACAGTGTCTGGATAGAGTATTTAATTAATTAATGTAGTATTATCATCAGGTCTATAGACCAGGCTGGCCTCGAACTCAGAGATCCATCTGCCTCTGCCTCCTATGTGCTGGGATTAAAGGCGTGCGTGACCACCACTCGGCCACATTATTATGATTTGGAATGCTAATGATAGTGATAGTAATCGGTTGCAATATTATTAAAAAATCTTGGATACCACTTATATTTTGTAAGAACTTTGCTCAATGATCCAATAATGGTGTCACAAATGGCTCCTTTGGCAAAGTATCATTACTTTTGGACAGGCATGGCAGGCTTAATTCGTCCTTTGTGTAACAAAAATAAATTACTAAGAAATGTACCATAGAGTTCCAGATTACAAAGCTCATAAAAATGTCAGAGCCCAAAGATGCATCTGCTCCAACCCTTTTATTTGAGATAAATCACTTTGTCAAAGGATTTATTTTGTGATGGAGTAGAAAAGTCTCAATAATGTGATCAATCAGAATACTTTTGTATAGTTGGGATCTGTCATTTTTGGAATATTGCCAGACAACACTGTTTTTTTGGCCATGTATGAGTAATCTTGAAGCCTTGTTCCTGATGCCACTTTATTTCCACAGAACGTGGTGAAGCTGATGCGAGGTCTCCTGCAGTGCATGATGAGACAAGTAGGTGGGACGTGACAGACTGGTACCTTCAGAGCACTGGAGTGTGCATTCGCGTCACTAATTTGGATAGCATCTTACATTTGGAACTCTCTCATGAAAAAACAGAAATATTTTTTGCTTACTTTCTTTTTCTAAAATTACCCTCAATAATTTTTATTGTGCTTAGGAACCATAGTTTCAAAGGACAGTTCTGAAAGTCCTCTTTCAAAGATTTATGTGTATAAAAGGAGAACATGTCTTTTTTCAATTAGGAAAAGATGATATTAAAAGCACTCAGAGAAACCCATGCACTACTCATTTTTTATTCTGGGTGTTGTCATTTCAGGTCAAGTGCTTCCATTGTGAAAATTTGTCATTATTGGGGCCAGCTAGATGAATCAGTCATCACTAAGTCTGAAGACCTGAGTTCAGTGCTAGCACCCACATGCTAGTTGGCCTCTGCCTTCGCCCACATGCCTGCCTGCACACATACACATATACACAGAAGATCAATAAATGTAATTCGTGTTTAAAAGTTGACATTGTTATTTACTTACATCTTCAGTGTAAGGCAAATGAAACGATTTATTATAATGTTTATACACAGAACCTTCTACTAGGATCTGTACCAGTTCAGAGGGTCATGTGCTCCCACCCCATCCTTAGTTGGAATAGCCAAAGACATTGCACTCTTTTGTTCTTTGTGATGTTAAGAAAAGAGAAGTTGGCATTTAGACAGGTTCTTTTTCTTCCTTCCCTATGTCCTTGAGAACGTACCGTTTGCCCCTGCTGGGGAGTCTTTTGACAAGGACACCTTTGACCTGAGCCTCCCCTGTGATCTCTGGGCTGAGGTATTTCCATTGAGTGAGTGGGAAGAAGCTCCATCATGGCCCTTGTGTGCAGTGCTCATCAGCAACCACTGCCCATCCTCCTGGTTCCCAGAGGTGTCACATAAGAGGTCTAGAAGATTCAGTGATTATCCCTAGATATGCCATCTGCCAGCTAGGAACCTGTACAGTTATGTGAACCCAGCTTGCCTTCGTCCTCAGGTGGACAAAGTGGAGAAGTTCAAGCACACTCAGAGCACCAAGGACAGTCTGCACGCCAAGTATAACACTGCTACTTGCAGTACCGTGGTGGGTGATGACCAGTGGGGCCACCTCCAGGTGGATGCCACCTCCCTCTTCCTACTGTTCCTGGCCCAGATGACAGCCTCAGGTGAGCCATGGCCATTCGAGTGACATTTCAGAAAGTAAAGGGGGTAATGTCCATTTATACTGTGATAACAAAATACCCAAGACTGGGGAATTCAAATAGTATAGAAGTTTCTTTTCTCACAACTCTAGAGGCTGAAAAGTCCAAGATTAATGTACCAACAAGTTGAGCTGTTTGGTGAGAACTGCCTCCCCTGAAGAAGTAGAAGGCTTTGTCTTTACACGGCAGATGGATTAAGAACTGAATGCTGTGTGTAGCCTCTTTCCCGAGGGCCCTCATTTATCCGTGGTCTAAACTCATATAAGCCCCGCATCTTAGGACTGTCACATTAGTAACACTGAATTTCAGAGGGACACACTGAGAACATACCAAGTGCTATAAATGACTAGTAGATTATACAGAGGAAAAGCGTACTTCCCTGTGGGGTCATGTGCATCTGTGTCTTGCTAGGGCAGGGAATGCAGGGGCCCAGGCTGACACCTATAGACAGAAGTTAGCCTCTACCTGGGCAGGTGCAGGCTTTCCTTTGGCTCACTCAAGGCTAGGGAATGATACTTCTGGACTCCAATCTTTGCTTTGTTGGAATCTTCTCTGCACAAACATAACATGTTCCAGAGAACCCATGCCTTACCTCTGAACTTTCTTCCCATAGACACACCCTCAGTGATGGAGCTCCCCTCACTTTGTGAAGGACTTACTTCAGAGTTACTTCAGTGCCCAATAAGAAAAGGAAAGATAGGATCAAAAGACTTATCTGCTAGCAAAATGCTTGTGTATAACTGGCAACTGTCTTCACGGTATCACTTTTCTTTGTTAGGCTTGCGTATTATTTTCACCCTCGATGAAGTGGCCTTCATACAGAATCTTGTCTTTTACATAGAAGCTGCATATAAAGTTGCTGTAAGTACCCATGCTGGTAGTCTTTTTTCTAGCTGTCAAAAAATCAAATAAAATCATCCAATTTTGTGAAAGCAGCTATTTGTGGCTCACTAGAACGTTAGTGAAACTAGAGCTGTCAGAATGTGTCACCTTTGTGTGCAAAGTATTTAGTTTTTGTCCTGGGATATGGATTTCATTTTGGAATGTACCACACACTCTGTCTGAATACATTACTGTATTCAGTAATGTATTAAAATGCCCTGTAGGATATGTATGAGCTGGCCTACATTGGGCTGCAAAAGGAGCCATGTTGATGCCTCAGTGGGAACTGGGGCACCGTGGGGTTTATTTACACCATCAGCCCACAGGCAGAGAAGGCCACGCTATCCGTATAAACATGAAATGAGTTCACATCAACCCTATGTCTAGACTTAACCTGTCTCAGAATGTCAAGAGCATCAAAGTTGATAGACCTGTCTAAAGAAACTTAAGAGATTTTTGTGGGGAAGGCATGCTTTCAGGTAGACCTTGGGTTTCCATAAGAAAGGGAGAGAACGGGCATTTGAGTGCAGGAATAGTGGAGTGAGCAACAGGAACAGGCTGGGACGGGGAAGGTGTGATTTAGGGAGAGCAGAGGTTGGGAGCATTTGGCATAGAGGGTGCAGAGTAAAGGCCCAGGTGAAAATTGACACTGGAAATAGTGGAGTGTCTTGTCGACTTGCTGGCATGCTGAAGGAGGAGGCCAGACTCTAGCTGTTATGGCCATGCAGAGAATCTTTGACGGGATCAGCTAGGGAAGAAACTAGTGCTCAATAGTTATCTGAAATGGAGGCTGAACGCATCACACAGTCTTCAAGGATGAGTTTTCTAGCTGCTAGATTGGAGTGTCAAATTTTAGGAGCAAAAGAATGCGCAGGCATGAGAAAAGACACGTGGGTCTACCCACAAGGCCTGCTTGCAGGTCAGGGTCTGTACCGCCCGCCTGTACTACGTGACAGTACAGTACTACTCCTGTATTGCGGCGCCTGTACTACTCCTGTATTGTGGTGCCTGCACTACAGAACCATTCATGAGCAGGGCAAGGGCCTGGAGATTTAAACACACAAAGACACACAGACAGAGACACAGGTCATCCTTGAAACAGGAATGCCCCCCTTTATTGTGTTCCAGGGCAGTTTATATAGGGATCCTTAAATGATAGCCAAACCCACCAGAAACCACTCCCCTACCATCAGGAACTCCTGAGGGTCTGGAGCTCAGAGCAGCTGCAAGCATAATACATTGTTTACAAGAAATTCAGGATCTGGGGGTTCACAGCTCCCAACAAGGGTCTACAATGACCCTGGTATATCTAGGTTTCTGTGTTTACATTTGTAAATGTTCTTCCTTGTTTTGGTTTGGTTTGGTTTTTGTTTGTTCTTTTTTTATTTTTACTTTTTTAGGGTTTTTTTTTTTTTTTGAGGCAGGATGACCTCAAACTCAGCAATTCTGCCTCTACCTTCTAGGTGCTGGGATTACAGGCATGAGTGCTATACCTGGTTGTTTTCATATTTTTGAAGTCTTTACCACTTCTGAATCCATGTCATTAGTCCTAATTTTCAATTTTCATGACTTCACATAGTAAGAGCCACTATGTCCATCATTCTTCTTTGGATAGTAAAAATAAAGACTGATATTTTGGCATCAACCCTGTTCTTTTTATTTTTTTGAGAGTATAATAATATAATTATGTCATTTCCTCCTTTCTTTCCTCCTTCCCAACCTTCCCATATACCCCCTTGCTTTCTTTCAAATTCATGGCCTTTTTTTCATTAAATATCTAAATATAATCTAGTCAGTCTCTATGTTATGTGTGTGTATACATACATACATATACATACATACATACATACATATGTTTTCAGGACTATTTGGTGTCAGATAACCAATTGGTGTGCTCCTCCTTGGGGAAGACTATTACTCCCACTGCCAGTATTCCTTAGTTGCCTGTAGTTCTTTCGATGGTTGAGGCTTCATGAACCTTTCCTCTTTCATTGTACATGTCTGTTGGTATTTTATTTGCTCATGGTGTCATGTTTAGGCAGTCATGTTGAATCTTGTTAGGTTTTTGCTCTTTTAGTAGTGTATGCAGTATTTTGAATCAACATGTGACAGTTGGGTTTTTTAATAAAAATATGAATCACCAGAGATAGGTGTGTGTGTGTGTGTGTGTGTGTGTGTGTGTGTGTGTGTGTGTGTGTATGTATATATGTATTGAGTCTTCTGAATTAATTTGTATGAATGGGTCTTTAACACCTTGTGTGTTCAGTGAGTTATTTTTGACAGCGGCTTTAGTTCCTTGATGAACATTTTCTTTAGACAGAGGTAATGCTAAAAATAATTTTTGAAATTGTTTTAAATAAGTTCAAAGGCATTGACCAAATAGAAAGGCAACACTTTGATTTTAAGATAAGTAAAATATATATGTTCACTGCAAATTGAGTTTGTTACAAATTAATGCCTTTTAGAAATAAGCCTTCAGAGTGTCTTTGTGTGTTCTTTTGTTCCACTTGAGTATTTTCTTCTAAAATTCTGTACAGAGGCCTCCTGAGCTGAACTTGAGCAAGAGCAGAATGAATATATACAGCCACAAAGCCTTTGAGAAGCCATCCTCCTGTTTCATTGTGTTTGTGCTAGCAGAAAAAATTGCTTTTCCATAGTATTTTTTATGTACCTCCCACCTCTGATAGCTGCCTTTTTCTCCTCAGGATTACGGAATGTGGGAACGTGGAGATAAGACTAATCAGGGCATTCCAGAACTGAACGCCAGCTCTGTGGGAATGGCCAAGGTGACAGTCCTCTTCTCCCCTCTGTGTGGGTTGACTTTTGTCGGCTTCTCTTCTTCAGGAATTTGAATTTAATATGATTAGTTCTTTTCTTTCGAAGGTCAGCAGCAAATATATGAAATCCAAGTGGCACCTGTAGCCCAGCCAAGTGAAGTTAAAGATCAGGAAGATAGATTTCCAACACTGAAGTCTGAATGTGACAGAAACTAAGTTCTTCCACCCTTACTATTTGATGTGTCACCCATGGGTTCAAGCTCTTGCTGTTAAGCTGTGTTAGTGATGGCCAGTCTTCCTCTCTAGGTCATGGTGAAGGTTAAATAACAGGAGAATTTTGTAGGTGAGATGCACAGCTTCAAGTCTACAAGGTCAGAGAAGTAACAATAATCAGTAAAGCTGGCCAGAGAAAAAGAGAACAGGGCAAGAGGGATACTGGGGATGCTGTGATCTTTCCTTGAAAGTATTTCAACTAAAAATCAGTTTTAAAAAATGGTCTTCGAGCCAGCACTGTAATGTGTGCCTCTAATTCCAACTTCTCAGAGTACTGAAGCAGGATGGTGACTTGAACCCAGGAGTTTAGGGCCAATCTAGGCAGCACAGTGAGGCCCTGTTCTAAAAAGGAAAAAGAGAAGAGAGGCAATGAGATAAGACAGGACAGAGATGGAGACAAGAAGAATGGAAACAGAAGACAAAGTGGGTTGGGAGAACTCTTAAAGCTGAACAGTGGACCTGTGGGGCACATTCCCCCTGTAGGCCACTGGTGTGAATCTCTTGCTAAAGACATTCAGTGTGCAGCCTTCCCACCTCCTTCTCAACGTAGGCATGAACTACTTAGACAGCATGAAGGTTCCAGAGCCACAGTTTTAAAAGCAACAATGAATATGCTCCAATACAGCAAACTGACAGAAAATGTACTTTTTCCTGAAAACCTAATTAACTTTCTCAATTAGCCATGAGGTGGGTTAACTGCAAAAATAGGTAAATGGAAAGCCAGTCCTGAGTTAATTTTTTGTGCCCCCACACATGATGTTAGTGACTTGTTAATTTTCTGTCTTTGGGTAGAATATCACTTTCATATGAGGAAATGTTTTCCTGTTTTCTTTCTTATTCATAGAATGAACAGTGTCATCCTGCAAAGCTGTGAGCTGCTGAAAATGAAAAGAGACCATGGCGATAGGACGCTAGATAGATTTTAAAGACATTCTTCATTGCCATTAGCAGAAATGTGTATGTTAGATTGCATAATGAAAAGGGAGTGCCAAGTTAGGATGCATGTGTGTTTATTAAAAAGACCAGTAATTCTTACCTGTTTTTGTAGGCAGCACTTGAGGCAATTGACGAACTCGATCTTTTTGGAGCCCATGGAGGACGCAAGTCAGTCATTCATGTCCTGCCTGACGAAGTGGAGCACTGCCAGGTAACATCCAGCCTGTAGGCCACTGGTGTGAATCTCAGGCTAAAGATACTCAGTGTGCCTCCTCCCGACCTCCTCAACATAGGCTCCAGAAAATAGGGGAGGAGAATCCGAGCTAAGAAAGCCTTGGGCCCCACTTCCGGTTACTGACGTGACCTCTTTGTGATTCAGCTTCCTCATCTATAAAGTGGTATAGGTGCCTTCCCTCCCGCCTCACAGAGTAACTGTAAGGAGCAGAGCAAATGAACCTGGCCAACTTGCCCAAGTGCTTTGTAGCCAGAAAGCACCATGCAGACGTAAACCATGGTGAGTCTCTGTACATGGAGCTAACAGCCAAAGCGGCTTGGTTCTGCTAGAAGCGAAATCTGTTCTATGTTTTTTTGAGTATGTAAGTGCTTTTCTCACAGCTTCATTCTTAGTGTTCCCAAATGGGGTGGCTGACAAGTGGCATTTCACTTGAAGTGAGGAGGCATAGTGTACAGAGTAGGTGAGGGGAGAGGGGAAATGAGAGATGGCAAATTTATAGAGCTTCTTTGAAATACAGATCACAGGAATGATTGATACAGTGTAAGGGGTGCCATTAAGCAGAAAGTCCTTAATTATTATTAGCAATTATTAGTGTGGGTCTACTATGTGCTGGGACTAAGAGTCAGAAACATAACTTGTAAGTAGTAAACCATGTTTGATGGTACATGCCTGTAATCCCAGGAAGGAAGAGGCACGGGGACCAAAAGATCAAGCTCATCTTCAGCTACTGAGGGAAGTAATTACCAAGTTCAAGGCTAGCTTAACTACAACTTAACTATCTTAAGCAACATGAAACCCTTTCTTTAAATAAACCTAACCCCAAACACTTGTCAAAAGCTTCAAGTAAGAGTTCGTGTTTCCAGGCAAAGAGACTGTGAAAATAAGTGATTATAACCATGTACTTTATAGTTACATTTTGGCCAACGACGGATGGCATATACTGTGGTATCATATTGTATTTTGTCTCTTATTGACCAAAATGTACCACACAGCCTGCGCATGTAGTAAACTATATGATCTGTTTGTCAGTATACTCTATGATATTTATGCAATGATGAAATCACCTAATATTGTTTTTCTCAGAATGTGCCACTCATTAAGTGGTTCATGACTATAGTTAAAGAACTGAACCAAGAATTGTTTGACCATAAAAAAGGTTTATTCTAGAGCTAAAGGGTTCCACTCAGCCCCACCTTCCAGCTCATTCCATTTTCCTCACTAAGCATAGTCCTTAATGAATCTATGGTATTTTCTTACAGTATACATTAATAAAGAAATACTGACTGGTATGTGTCTTAGTAGATATATAGTGTAATGGGAAAGTTTAAGTTGGGTTAGAATTGTAGCTCGATCACTGGCTACATGACCTGGGGCATGAATCCTGTGTCTCAGAGTCCTTGTGTATTAATTTGGTATAATACCTTATTTCTAGCTTCAGATAGAATATTTAATGAGCTTGTTTTTTATCTGTACATTTATCTCAACATTACTTCCTTTACTTTTCCAAACATTTCCTTATAATTCTAACCCCCTTCTACATTTATAGTGCTTAATCTAGCTACCTCATTGTTAAGGTACTATCATAGTGCCTCCGATAATCTTTAAAAGTTCTGGAACTAAACTGTTTTGTCTGGCACTCAGGAGATCTGAATTTTACTCCTCATTAAAGCAGTTTTTAACTTACCTAACTCATCTAGTCCCGTTTCACAAAAGCATCTGTCTCTCTGTTGCTGGTGCTGTGTGAATGTTTTTGTCTGGTTTCTGTCTTCGTAGCCAGGCATCTTGGCCACAATGACACAAACAGCACTGTAGTTCTTCCCCATCAGTGAGCATGGGAAGAAGGGAAGATGGCAGTTCTGAGCACAAGCCTCAGACTGGCATGTTCTCTTCAACTCCCCCCTCCTTTCCCAAGGAAGAGGAAGCATTGTCTGGGTGGCTGGGTAAGCAGGAGTGGCCAGCCGATGCCATGCTGGTAAGACTGAGTCCTTCCCCAAATAGACAAACTCCTTTGAACGTTTCCTGTAGGCTAAGGTGATGGTCCCTAGCTACTCTATCTAGCTAGTCCTGCTTCTATAGCTTAAACCACTTCTTTGTTTTTATTCAGTCAATTCTTTTCTCCATGTTGCCACGAGCATCAACATCTAAAGAAATCGATGCCGGACTTCTTTCTATTATTTCTTTCCCGGCCTTTGCAGTAGAAGATGCGAACCTTGTGAATGTGACCAAAAATGAAATTATTTCCAAGCTTCAGGTAAGCATTGGCCAATGCCCCCCCGTTCTGCATTAAATGCCATGTTTATGTGATGACATAGGGCATCTAACTTATCCTTATAGCTCATGGTGTGGTTTCCCTAGATCAGCAGTTCTCAGCCTGTACTTCATGAAAACCCCATAGTGGTTGCATATCAGATAGCCTGCATATCAGACATTTACATTATGTTTCATAACAGTAGCAAAATTACAGCTATGAAGTAGCAACGAAAATAATGTTATGGCTGGGGGTCACCACAACATGAGGAACTGTATTAAAGGGTCACAGCATTAGGAAGGTTGCGAACCACTGCTTAGAGGTTATAGGAAGAGTCCTTACAGAATCTCTTGAAAGCTCTATAGACCCTGCCAGAACAAAAGCACATATCCAGGTGCTTGATGTACAAGCATGAGGACCTGAGTTCAGATCCCCAGCAACTATTTCACAACCCAGCAGCACATATCCATAATCCCAGCACTGGGGAGGAAGAGATGGGTGGATCCATCAGGTTTGCTGACCAACCAGTTTAGCAGAATTGGTAAACTCCAGGTTCAGTGAGAGCCTCTGTCACAGAAAAATAAGGTGGACAGGGGTTAAGTAAAATGGCTGATACCTCTCTCTCTCTCTCTCTCTCTCTCTCTTCTCTCTCTCTCTCTCTCTCTCTCTCTCTCTCTCTCTCTCTCTCTCTCTCTCTCTCTCTCATACACACACACACACACACATATACACGTCACATCAAAGGAGAAAGGTTGACTTTGAAAAGAGAAAAGAAACCAATGGAGGGAGAGAGGAAGACAAGAAAATAATAGTTAAATGAGAACAAAATAAAATAAAAATATTAAAATTATGAAATACAATGAAACTCATATTTTTGTATTCTAATAAGAATTTGAATGATGAGACTCCATTACTGCATGCAGTAACAGATCACTAAGCTAAGACCATCTTACATTCTCAGCAAACAGAAATCTATAAAATTGTCCAAGTATGTAAGTTTCCTAGGTCAAAGCTTCCATATTGATTGTCCCACCTATATTCTGTAAGAAATATCTTTGTCCATTGCAAACAAAGGAATTGAAGTGTCTCCAATCATATTCGCAAAAGAAAGCAACTGGAAGGGTTAAGCCCTGTGGAGAAAAGGGGATGATTTGGGTAGCTGCAGCTGAAAGGGCAGTTGTAATGAGCTTACAGGACAAATGGCTTCTATGTCAAGTCCCCTGGAATGATTCCCAGAACCACACAGAACTTGTACAGACCTCCTGGACAAGGGATAGCCAAGCCTGCCAGAACAGCCCCACCTGCAAAAGAAACTGGGGAATAGGCATCCAGAGCTGCATCCAGGGATTAGGAATAAGGCACCATCGTACCCAGCCTGCTTTCCTGACACCCGGAAAACTGGAGAGGAGCCATGACATCTGCAGCCAGTGAACCAGCTACCACATAGTTCAGGAGGCCCCGCCTCCATGCTTCTACCTCATGACTCCTTCCCCCTCCTCCAGGTCTTGCCAGGCCTCTGAAGCAGACCGCCTTCAGCATGCACAGCCTGAGCGCATTGAGTCTGTGGAGTAGCCTTTAGCATCCCAGATATACACAGAGCAGCCAGCCATTTCAGATGTCAGTGCTTTCCTCACCGAGCGAGGGTACCTTTGTATCTATGTCTGATACTGTAAACCTCACGGAAGGGGAAGGCATAGTCATTCACTGAGTCCCTGAGGAGCATATTTGCAGCCCCACCCCAGACTCTGATGGAATGCTCCTGTGTTCTCTTCTGAATGCTCATCAAGTCTGAATTTGCTTTGCTTAGTACTTCAAAAGAACTCTTTACATTAAAGCAAACAACACTGGTGCATGTTTGCTCACCGAAAATCGCAAGGGAAAGGGGATGAAGTACTGACTTGAGTTGAAATTAAAAGGCAAAGAAAATTTCTTTCGATTTCATCAGCTCTGCTTTTTTTTTTATTCACCTTTCCAGGGGCGTTATGGATGTTGTCGCTTCCTTCGGGATGGTTATAAAACCCCAAGAGAGGTTGTATTTAAATATTGCTTCTTGTGTTCCTTACCTGCTCCATATCTACTTGCCACTGTGTCATTTTCCCTCTATTGCTTATAATTACATGTTGAATATTGGGAAGGAAAGTATTAATTTTGGAGTCAGCAAGCCTGGAGTTATATAGAAAAGAATGATCATCAGGTCAAGCCAACTCGTAAATCAAGGATGAGTAAATCTGTGGCTCACACGTTATTTTCTAAAGCTAATTTGTACCCTTCTTTTGGGTTTTAATGCCACAGTGATTAATATTATGATATAAATTATGATATAAGTGAAACAGATCATCTGCCAAGCACTGCAATAGACAAATTGCTATTTTGTAGAGAGATAGGATGCTTTAATGTCATAAACTACGGAGAAGTCCTTTGTGTATTTCTGATTTAGTGTCTGAAATTTTGCCCAAACTAGCATTTCCCCTGATTGTAGACTCCTAGTCATAACAAAGCTGCACTGACTGAGATAGGCGAAGGAAACCAAGTGAGGCAGAGTGGCATTGTGTAAGAAATGTAACATCCTTTTCTAAAACTTTTATATGTTGGGTTCTAGGACCCTCATCGACTGCATTATGACCCTGCTGAACTTAAGCTCTTTGAAAACATTGAATGTGAATGGCCCGTGTTCTGGACTTACTTAATCATAGATGGAATCTTCAATGGTGATGCTGTTCAGGTGAGAAAACGCTGGGCACCGTGCTCATAAGCCTGTTCATCCCACTGATGGGCTGATCACTATTAGCAGAGAGTCATTTTGTTTCAGCTATATATTGCCATTTTAAAAACTTTTCTGAAGCCTAGTGAGTTAAAGCAGCAGCTGTTTTATTTATTTGTTCATAATTCTGTTATTTTGGCAGAGCCAGTAAGAACAGATTGTCTCTGCTTCTCCTCATGTTCCCCTGGGATAGTTCATGGGGCTAGAGGACCTACTCTTAAGATGGTCCCATTAATGTGGCTGGTGAGTGAAACCTGACTGCCAGCTAAGGCTGGATGCTCAGCTGAGCTGCGGCAGGGACTCAGTTCTTATCCATGTGCCTCACTTGGGCTTTTCACAACAGTAGAATCTCTGGGTCATTAGATTTTTTATGCCATAGTTGTCTTTTCCCCAGAAATGTAAATGCATAGGCTGCCAAGCTTCCTTAAGTCTTCTGACAGAACTGGCGAAGTGCCTCCATCACATGCTTGCTTAAATGGATGGCACATACTCAAGAGTGGGAGTTGGGGGAACTAACTAGACAAGGGCATGCGAGCTAGGAGGCATAGTTCCTGTCTATCTCGGATAGGTGTTCCTTTTATTCCTTTCAGAGCAGACGGTAACTTTGTTTAGTGTATCAACCCCTGCCTCCAAGCTCCAGCTTTACTCCCTGTTCTTCCCATTCTCTACACCCGAGCCCAAGTGATTTTATAAAAAAGACAAGCTTAGATTACATTGCTGCCCTGCAGCGTTAGTAGCCTTCCTATTGCTGTGACAAAATAAAATAAATAAGTTAAAAGGAGAGGAATAACTTTAATGACTAACTTCCTCCAGGTACACCCTATCTGCTAGTTTCCACTACATTCAATAGTGCCAATAGATCCTGTTGACCAGGATCTCACTCTGGCTTCTCAGAGCCCGTTCTGATCATATTCTGGGTCTGGAAGAGAAGGAGGTGGGCAGTAGTCTCATGCATTTTGGCTTTTGAAAGCCCAGTGTTCAGGAACATAGGCAGTACACTTCAAATGGTAAGGTCCTTTCATTATTCACTCTTGTATTGTGTTTAGAGTTTATGTTGGGCCTTCTTGTCTTTTATTCTAAGTACTGAAAGTTCTCAGAATGACTAACTTTGAGTTTCAGTGAAAATAGACTTAGCAATAATTAAGGGGACAGGGGGAAATGAGATTAAAATTCCTATGCTTCATATTTTTTTAAGGGCATAAGACATAGTTTACCCTGTAACCATTTTAAGTGTCCATGGTTCTGGAACATGTACTTAGGCTACTCCAAACTCCATGTTCCAACATGGAAACAGTTTCATGAAGTTTTTTAGTTTTACAGAAGAAAGTAAGTCACAAATAAAGGCAAATTTAAAATATAGTGCTGGGGTGGGTACACCAGAGAGGTGGGTACAGTGAGATAGGATAAGCTTTTCTGTAAGCCCCAGATGCTAGTTGAGCTTTTAGGTTGGTGAAAGCCAGTGGTTTGCTAAATTAAAAAATTCCAGAAGGTTTTTATTATTAGTCACAGGATACTAATTCTACCAGAGAGGTGGGCAAGGAATGGCTGTTCTAGAGGGTCACTAGCCTTTGGAGCTGCAGCATTCCAGTCTCTCCACAGCACCGAATTCAAATCACTAATCAGTCTCGGCAGACAGATTTCTTTCAAGAGCTTTTCGTTCACACTTCCCCTTGTTAGTCAAGCATCCTATTTTGTGCATTCAGGGTCCACATATTATATATCAAATATTGTAAGTTCGCTCATAGCTAGGAAGGCCCTTTTCGAGGATCTGATACAGATGAGGCAGGAGGTAGATTGGTGCTGCCAGGAGCAGACATGTTTCATTGTCATGAAAAGCCTTATGTTATTAAAATATCTTAAATGTCATATTATGTACCTCTCTGAAGTGTTTGAAGAAGCCCTGTCTATCTAAAATCTATCTCTGTTTGACCTTGAAAGCATACCTAACATGACTACAAGTTTAATTGACAAAAGTGACTGCTAACCTGCATTTCTTTATTATCCTAAATAGTTTGTAGTAATAACTTTCAAAGACTAGAAATGCACATTACTCTGTTAAATGAGCTGCATAGGTACAGTACCTTAAATAAGAGTAGAAACATATGTACAGTGTGTTCTAACAAAAATAACCTTAAATTTGTATCGATATACAAAAGTCCATTCCAATGTAAAATATTTAAGACTAGTAGTTAGTTGCCTTTTTAGTTTAAAAGTAGATTCAACAATCTTCCTATCATTTCTATATCCCCCTTTTTCTTTTTGGAATGAGATCCCTAAATCTAATTTCCTTTGTTCAGCTTGTTTCTTGACCATTACCAATAACAACTTGTAACCAACTCATCTAAATAATGACAAATATCCATAAGCCACCGAATGATCAAAACTCACCCAACCAATCTCTTGGAAATGTGGGTGTCTTGTTCTCTAGACTGCATCCTGATGTATGTGGAGTAATGGCATCTCCTGAGGACCCTGAGAAAATTGAAATAATGGTCAAGTATTGGGAGAGCTAGCTGTATCATTTCTTGCCAGTCTCTGTGTAATGAATGGGAAAGTATAGGGCTTATCTGAAGTCCTGACTGGAGTGGTGCATGAGGGTGGATCACCTCAGCTAGCCACCTTGAAATTTTCCTGATCAGTTTGTGGTCCAAAGCTGATCTTTGGGTGTTGTTTATCAGCTTAGTAGTATTACCACGATCCAGGTGGAATTATTGTGGGTCCCCATCATCCTTTGGAGACTTAAAACAGTCATTGTTAGGAATGGTCATGGTTCACTGCAGAAAACTTAACATTTTAAATGTCATATGCAGCAGATCTCAGAGAGGTTAAAGAACCACAGTTTGTTAAATATATCCATGGTACACAAAAGAGGCTCTGGAAAATCTAATAATACCCTGAGACTAGCATATAATTCTGACTTTGAACAGAATCATAAGGACTTGGAGCTGCTTTACTTAAATTTCCTGACTTATAACTTGCCTTTTCTGATTTTTTTGCATCGGTATAGATTATAGAGGCTCCAGAAATTGGTATTCCTTGTACAATGTGAGGAAGGATCCAATTAGTTCTCTTTATAAACTGAACTCTCTTGCATTTGGGATATTTGTTGTTAATCCCTCCCCAAAATTACTGGAAACTCTTTGCCAGTGTTCATTTTCTGTCCATAATGAGGAGTTTTCAGCATTAGTAAAAGGCACCACTATTTCTGCTGGGTCTACTCCTACTAATTGACAAAGTCTTAATTTTCTTTTCAGAATCAATTCAGAAACGTTTTCTATATGGCTCTTTAATTTTTTACTCTCTGTGTTAAAAATATCCATTCTAAGATACTATCTCTGCATAAGAATTCCTGTAGGAGAATGCATAGAAGGTAAAATAACCAGAATACAATTAAGCTCTAGATCCAAATGATCGACGTGTACATCCTGTAATTTCTTTTCTACCAAAGCCAATTCTCTCTCAGCCTCAGCTGATAATTTTCTTGAACTATTTATGTCCCTATCACCTTGTAGGTTTGAAGTAAATTGCTTTGGTCCTGGGTAGTCAATTGAGTTCTAGGCCATAGCTAGTTAATTATCTCCCAACAATTTTTGAAATCATTAAGAGTTTGTAATTGATATTTCCTGATTTGTACTTTCTATGGTTGAATTTTTTGCAAACCTATCTTATATCCTAGGTACTTAATAAAATATCCTCTTTGTATGTTTTCAGGAGCAATTTGTAATTCCTAATAAGGCAGAATTTTCTTTACTTTTTCAAACATTTTTCTCTAAGGTATCTGCATCTGAATTATCTCTTTACCACGTTTTCCATTGTAACTGAGGGTCAGCTTCCAATACTGCTATAATTAAATCTTTTAAGTCTCGTGGAATAATTCTGTTCCAAGTGGTCCATGAATTTAACATCTGCTTTACAAAAGGAGAATGCATACCATATGAAACTATTGCTTCCTTAAATCTCTTCAAATATAAAATTTCTATAGGATTCCAGTTAACTTCTGAATAGCCTTGGAGATGCCTATCATCTGGTGGTCATTCTTGATGATAAAGTAAGGTTGGTTTCCTAATAACCTTGTACTGCTCCTCTTCGGGTTTAATAGTGCAGTGAGTGGTGTGCTAGGTTCTGTTCCAAACGCCTCTGTCTGTATGTGAATATTTTTCCTGGTTTCATTAGTATGTCTTTCTAAGTAAGGATTGTATCTTACCAGTCAATTTTTTTGTATTTGTCACTGACACCAAACAACTTTTTAAAGGATCAAGCATGAATAACCAAACTGATAATGATAATTGACATTATGTCAATCCCAGTTAAGATGATTATCCCTTTATTTTGTTCCATTTTCAAACCATCCATTGTGGAACCATACAGGGACCTAATATCCTGCATCATAATATTGTTTCCCATTTTTTTTACATGGGGAAAACCTTTTTTTTTTAAAAAGTAATCCCTCCTTAAGAATTCCCAGGTGTCTCACCAGATCTGATGATGATGACAGTGAAGTGTGAGACTGGGTAGAGAATACAGGTGGCGCACGGCCTGGTTGAGAGCTGCTCATGTGTAGCTGGGGGTTGAGAGTGTGTGTGGTCACAGCAGCAATAAAAGCCCAAGCAGGTGTCAAGGCGACTGACCTGGTATGGCAGTGTCTTAAACAAGGCATCCAGGGGATGCGCACAATTCACAGGGAAAGGGACTCAGGCACCTAAAATGCTGACACAGGGAAATGTGTGGAAGAAGCATGCGTGGCAGGAAGTGAGGACATGGGGGCCACTTGAAGGCAGACCAGTCACGGATGGGTGACTAAAACTTGTGGCATTTGAAGCCCAGGCACCTGTGGAGTTTGGGGCTAGGAATGGGCAGCAGCTGGAGGCTGTTGAGGAGAGGCTGCAACAGGAAAATTCCAGATTTGCTCAGAGGGCGTGGGCCAAGGGAGAAAAAACTAGCCAGCAGCAGTGGCTCTGGTGGCTGCAAAACCAGGGTGGAGGCGGCTACCTCCTGATGGCTACCTCCTGATTTAGTGCCCTGAGTTGGATGCCAGATGATGTGTTTATCTAATTATTCTTTAACAATAAAAACTCAGGAGTCAGATATTAGGGTAAGAACCTTAATGATCAGAGAAGCAGTAATGACCCCCCCCCCATCTCTCTTTTTCCTCCATCCAAAAGAGCAGAGACCCTTTCTCATCCCCACCATACTGCTAGTAGTTAGCACCACCCTTTGAATCAAAACAAACTTTATTGACAGTCTTGGGAAATTCGGAATGCAATCAAAATATCACAACAAGATCCACTTGGTCTCTGTCCTCTCTCCCACCTCTGGGGTCATAGATGTGCCACCAGGTCTTTTATGAAGATTCTGGGGATCCAGACTTAGGTCCTCACATTTGCGCCTTACTGACTTGAACCATCGCCCCCAGATCCTTAAGAGAGAGGAAGGGAGTGGGGAAGGGGAGAGAGGGGGAGATGGAAAGGGAAGTGGGGGGGTGAGGAATGGAAGGAAGGAAAGAAAGAGCAAGAAAAAGGAAGGAAGGAAAAAGAAAAAGATTGATTATTGGAAAACTTCCACTTAGGGCAGAAATAGAATATGCTGCCTAAGATAAGATTTCTAGCCCAAGATGTTTTAAACTTGGTAAGACAAATTTTACATATGAGACAACTTAAGAGCAAATTATTTAAACTATAAGAGTATGGGAATGATATCTGGTATAGTATAAATGATAGTACAGTGGAAAGTTTAAGGCCCAAACAGCTACTTCCTCGGGGGCTACCCTTCCCCTCTCCCTGGAAACTTGGCACATGTGGCTGGTCTCAGGGAGGGACAAGCAATGGTGTCCCCCTTCTCCTAACACTGTCAGCAGGAGTCCCTCTCTGGTCTTCTACAGCCAAACATTTTAGCATGTTTTGCCCTATTTGTTGCCAAGAGGCCTAGTGTGTTGTTGGTTTCTAAGTTGTATTGCCATTGCATCATAAACTGACAACCTCTGTCACACTAAACGTGCTGGGGCTGCTTTCCAGGTCCAAGAATACCGAGAAGCTCTGGAGGGAATATTAATCAGAGGCAAAGATGGGATCCACTTGGTGCCAGAACTCTATGCCATCCCGCCAGACAAGGTAATCAGTGGTGCCACGCCCCTCATGCTGCTCATCCAGGCCAAGTGGGTTCAGGCTTGACTTTCAGGTATTCTCCACCCACCTTTTAGGCCAAATGACCCTTTTCTCCAGAAGTGCTTTCTAAAGGCTAGTTTTCCCATCCATTCCTAGGAGGAATTAAGGCTTTGAGAAACATGCGGAACATGCTTGACCATGAATATCCTAGGGAGGCAGCAACTAAAGAGCTTTGGAGCATACATACCTGTACCTAATCTGTGTTTGAATAAGGCCCGTACACACATGACCAAAGGCCATGAAAGAGCCTGACTATACTGAAGGAGTCTTTGGAACCTGTCCAGTCTAAGACAGCCCTGGAGCAGGGACCAGACTCCACTCACTTCTACCAGCCTAGACCTTTGGGTCTGAGTTTCCACCAACTGCATGTATTCGTTGTTGCATGAGCAGACATCTTCACGTATCCAAACTTCCTTAGGATACGTTAAGGACAAGACTTCTGTCAGGCCTCACCATACAGATTAAGTTGTGAAATCTTCCAGGGATGTTTTCTATGTGTCAGGAAGTCTGCAAATTTCTTCATTTTATATTTGTATCCGTATGCCATGGATAGAGTGAATGCTGATGAGGGTGAAGGGTGTCTGGGGCACTTCACTTAGTGACATTTTCATGTCCCTTGTTCATATTGCTCATTCCCTAGTACTGAGGCTTCAATGTCAGGAAGGTGGAAACCAAACAAGAGAAAATGCATACCTTCAATGGCAGTACCCCTATTTTATAGTAGAAACTAGCCATTCCTGCTTTCCCAAAATGTACATGCACTGACCATTGTCACTGCTTGGTCAGAGCTACACTTTCTTCCTGGTGGATTATGCTGGTTGTGAATAATAAAATGCTACTCTACAACTCTCTCTCCTAAATATCACACTGACAGGTTTCTGATTGTCATCCAATATCCTCTTTAAGCAGTGTATTTAGCTTATATACTGGGTACCAGCATTTTACCTTAATTTCATTTTGTGTTGGCTTTGCAAGTGAGAGTTGGCAAGGGTCTTTGGTCAAATCAATAACACATACTGAGACCTCTGGGAAAGAATCTTGCAAGATACTACAAACCTCTATGGCAGCTTTGTGCAAATTAGAAAAAGTCTGGGACTGCAGTGGCATGCAGCCTGTATGCTTGGGCAAGGTGCCACTGTCTGGGGACCCTCATTGCACAGCTGGGGACTAGTGAAGGTATGTCCAGCAAACATGTAGTGAGCAGCCACTCCATGCCTGACACAGCTTAGCGAGTAGTACACAAGGTGGTTCTGTTTCGTTGAGTATGTAGGCAAGGTGAAAGTGGAACTAGGCTAGGAGGTGGAGGCAGCTATAGGAGAGATGGAAGCAAAGATGGGGTACACATGCACCTGTAAATTGTCGTTCAGAAGGACCAGAGTAGGGAGGAGAGGGGTGCTTCCATGAAGAGATAGAATTGAACTCTAGTGGAAAAGAGGGCAGAACAAGTTCATTTTTTTGACCTAGAAAGTTTGTGGGCTTTCTGTTCTTTAGATAGTTCTCATTCTAGATTCTTGCAGACTTCCTTAATAGTTGTATTTAATGTGCTAGCCAATTGTAAAAGTAATCCTGTACATTGTAAAATCTATGCAGACTTCTGTAGAAAGAAGAAAACATTTGTTATCCCTAATGTATGACCCAGTAGCAACCACAGAATTACATTCTGAAGAATATCCTTCCATGCTATTTCTTTTTTGACTCTTTGACTACCAGTGACAACTCCATTCAGTGTGTGCAAAACTTGTTTTTTAAAAAATATTTATTACCAAGAAATATAAATCTTTTCTAAGTATATTAATAATATCACTGGTTAATCCACAGTACTAAGAATGAACCCCACATACACAAACATTTGTCATACCATTTTTGCCCCTGTAGATGGATAAATGTTTTCTATTTCCTTTGAGTGACTACCCTAATCAGTGTTTCAATGACTAAAACCTTAAAGGAAGCGTAGAGTTTAGAAGAGCATCCCATATGTAGCTGACACTATCCTCAAAACAAGCAGGCATTGCTAGGACAAAAAAGCACAGAAGCTTATGCTGTTGAGATAAAGCTCCCGGAAAATTCCACTTTCTGAAGGAGGTAGGCTGGGGAGTGGCAGCAGCACTATTGGTTTTCCTCAACGCATAGTGCCACCTTCTGGTAATTTTCTTGCATGGGCACATGTCCCTGGGGATGGTAAGCCAGAAGAAGAAACCAGGCTTGACATCCAGCTATGCACTCTGCTTATGCAGACTGCTGGTTGTTTTTTTTATGAGAACACAACCACCCACAAACAAAAACTATGGTGCTTCCTGCTGCCGACAGCTGGGTATAGAGCAGGCAAGTCAAGCATCCAGCACCAGTGGCCGCAGGTAGGCTTATGGGAGGAGCACTGACCTAGGACCAGATCAAGATTTGAAGTCCCCCTCTGTTGCTTATAGTCATGGGATGCTGAGAGAGGAACTTTTGCCTTCTCAGTCCACCATCCTGTATTGCACAGAAGTGGCCTGCAGGCTGAGAACTGCTTTATAAATCTTCAGTATGCTCCCCTACTATAAGATATTGCTAACCTTGAACTGTTCATTTTCTCTGCCAGGTGGATGAAGAGTACAAGAACCCTCACACGGTAGACCGAATTCCACTGGGGAAGCTGCCCCATCTTTGGGGACAGTCCTTGTACATCCTTAGTTCTCTGCTGGCAGAGGTAGGGTTTCGAGGGTGGAAAGCCATCCATCTGATTGGAGTATAGGAAATTGGGAAAAGCACAGTGGTTCTCTGTACTGAGTGACTGCCAATAGCGTGTGCAGCTTCATTACCTTCAAGGTCGCCTGGGCTGTTTTGGGACCCTGTCTTTTCTCTGGCCTTGCATATCCATATTTTAATAAACCAGGTCAGATCAGCTACATGCCATGCTCCCTGGCTCCCTCTCACCAGAATCTCTGGTACGTAGTTAGAATCTGTTTGCATTGCTGCTCAGCAGACATGGGAACATTTTTTAGCCAAGATTAGCACATCTGATCTTAGAAGAGACAGGATTTAGGAAGTTATTAGATGGGCTAGAAGCTCTCTCAGCCCAATACACAGAAGCAGAAGGGCTCTTCAGATCTCTCGCTAGAAAGAAACAGCAGGCACATATCATCCTTCAGATACTGCAGCCCACGCCAACCCTCCTCTTGACCCATACCCTCTTGCCTCCAGGCTTCTGTTGGAAAAGCTTTAAAATGCATCTCCCCGTCTTGAGTGAGAAACTTCAGCTGAGAATTCTGGTGTGGGGAAGGAGTCTAAAGAAGAAAGGGACTGACCACATGAGGCTGGCCAGCCTGTGTGCTTCGCCACCTATAAAAGTGGGGAAGAGGACAGTGCATCAGAATGTTACTGGGGCACTGGAGTGGTAAAGACCGTGAAAGATAGCACAGTGGACACATCACCTGGGAACATTGGTTGCTGAGGTGGTTCCCAGGTATGTTTAATCTCCCAAGTTTCACGGTCATAGCTTAATTTATAGCAGTTCACATATATCCATTTGTAAGCCAGTCTTGATTCCAACCAGCTCAGTGACTTTTGGCAGGTCTCTTAACCTCTCTGGGCCTCAGTTGCCTCACCTGTAAAGTGAAAATTTGGGCTTAATTGTCTGCACAATGCATTATTCAGCTCAGATTTCAGTACATGTAAGGTAGGAAATAAATAACTCCACTCCCCTGAGACCTCCTCTCCAATATAAAAGTCTCCCTATGGGCCCAACAGTAGGTCCATTCCATCTCATGTCACCTTCATCCCCTTTGGATGCTTGGATGATTCCTAGAAAGTGCAAGAAGGTATATTTTGAAAGAGCTCAGATAACAAGATGGCAAGAGTTTTATGTTCCAAAGCAGGCAGCCCTGAACCAAAGTCTCACTATAGCGCTTTCGGCTTCCCCACCTGTAGAACAGTGATGGACATAGGAGACTTGAGTGTGACAGTGCACATGCAGGAACTTGGCTAGCACTAGTCATAGCTTTCTTTCACTCACACAATGTGGGGTATATTTGAGTAACCCTCAGAGCTAAGCACCAAGCATACAATACATTGATCAGTAGCATTCTGAGTAGTATACTCTATTATGGAGAGAAAGACAATCAACAAATATGAAGAAAAGGTTTTTGACTGTTTGAGCCCCCAAATATGTTGTTTTCAAGTGTAGGAACAAGGTGAAATCTTAGTTAAAGCAGTGTTTCATAATGTTAATGCTCCTCTCTTCTTAGGGATTCCTTGCCACTGGTGAAATTGATCCCTTAAATAGAAGATTTGCTACTTCAGTCAAACCTGATGTTGTAGTACAAGGTTTGTAAGCGTTTTTACTGTCCATCTTGAATGTTTAAAATCAATGTTAATTTTCCATTAACATTGTTCCCTAGTTATTAAAAAATTTTAAAGGGTGTTTAGCTGGGTTCTAGCAGTGCGTGCCTGTAATCCTAGTACTCAGGAGGCTGAAGCAGGAAGGTCAAGAGTTCCCAGCATTAGGGAAGTAAGAGCTGTAGGATCAGAAGTCAAGGTCACCTTTGGCTTCTTAGAGAGTTTAAGGCCAGTCTAGCCTACATAGTAAGACCTCGACAAAGGAAAAAAGGGAGAGAGAAAGAAAGTGATTTTTATACAATAAGATGTAGGAATCTACGAGAAACTTTGTATAACTTAGGTAGGCCCCAAAAGCAACGGGATTCTTCCCACCTACAAATTTACTTCCTACAAAGGAGTTGTTTTCTGGAATCTAAATCTTGATTATCACTGGAGCACAATTAAGTCATTGAGCATCATTCTTCATTACTGTCACTCTGACAAGTGGAGTCTGAGCCTGGTGCAAACTCAGAACCCAAGTGAAGTGGATCATTTGTCGCTTGAAGGTCTCAGGTCTTGCCACCAGCTTCCTCCCTTCCTTCCTCTTTAGCCAGTTCTTCTTCCAAAAAGGTAAGCATCCCAATGGGGCTGCCTTTCCAAGGGTACCCCAACAGGCCATTTCTCAGGGCTGCTGGGACTCTCGCTCTTCCCCAAGGAATCCTGCAAGCAATGGAGATAGCTATAGAGGAGGCTTTCGATCTAGGTCTGGCCTATGGTATGCACCTAGAGCAGCAATCCCTTCTGTTTCCTCTACTAAGGGACTGGCAGCTCTGACACGTTTTGAGGACCTTGTAGAACACTCACTCAGGTGCTGTGAAATGTCAGCCACTGTGTATATAACACATTGCTCCTAAATTTAGCTACATACCTTTGTTTGTTTGCATAGTTTTTGGTCCTTTGAAACAGTCTTGCTTTGTAAAACTGGCTGACCTTGAATTCAATACATAGCCAAAGCTGGCCTTGTGCTCACAGACATCCTCCTGCCTCAGTCTCCTAAGTGCTGAGATTATAGGCATGAACCACCATGTCTGGCTTAGGTTTTACACTTCTTAAGGATACGGCTTGTATTCTCTTCTGTGTTGACTGACACCTGTGCACCCACACATTGAAAATCATGATTGAAGAAATAAGAAAGCATTCCTCTTTGGGGCCACTGGCCCCTTTTAATGAGCATGCCCATGATACAATGAGAGGAGCTGGAAGTTGACATCTCATCAATAGTGTATAAGTACACGTAATCACCATAACATTCTCATTAGGTAACATTTGCCACATTGCTTATCTCCCTGAAGCTTAGCGGTTAACTTATTCATTCAGGGATCTCAGCTGACAACTGGAGGTGGGAACCTATTATTGACACCCTGGTAGGCTGATCCAGCTGCACTTCTTAGTCTCCACACTTGGTCAACACATATTCTGCTAATTAGTCTCTTAAAACTACAAGAGTTCTTTTCCAGCTGTGGGCTGGGATATATTAATAGATCTCAACCAAATTTTTAATCTATTGATTTTATTTTTAATTATGTGTGTGCGTGCGTGCACGCGTGTGCGTCTGAGTATGAATTTGCAAATATGTGCAGTGCCCAAGGAGACCAGACAGTGTTAGGATTTCTGGAGCTGGAGTTACAGGCAATTGTGAGCCACCTGATGTGGGTGATGGGAGTCAAACTTGGATCCTTTGGAAAAGCAGTGAGCACCCTTAACTATTCACACATCTCTTCACCCCAGCATTTTTTTTTGATGTAGTAGAACAGAGCACCATTCAGAGGATCTAGCATGAAGAAACTCATGCAGATCCAGTGAGATACCTCAACAGATAATAGCACTTTGCCACCAAGTCTGACAGCCAGAGTTCAATCCCTGAAGCCCATATAGTAGAACAAGAGAATTGACTCCTGCAGGTTGCCCTTTTACCCCCACACACACACATGCTATGGCACATGCATGTCCCCTCACCCACTCAGAATAGAGAAGGGGAGCTCATGTGATTGCATCAGACTATGAGGCTCTCCCCAGTGTCGGTTACAATCACTCCCTGAAAGACACAATCTTCCAGAGACTGGGAGTGGTGCAACTTTGATAAATGTGCAATTCTCTTTGTCAGCGGCAGTTTCACAAGGGGTAATTTTCAAAGTGTTGAGGGAAACCATGGTCAGTCCTGCAGATGAGCAATCTTATTTGAGACCTGGGGAAGAGGGGGATTAGGCTCCAGTTCTCCCCCATCTGTTTTGGGCTAATTAAGCATTCTCATGGCTTCTCTTAAGGTTCACTGGAAAGATGAGATCATGGGTATTAAAACCGTTTAAAAAGCGTTAGGTGGTATGTAGATGTAAGGAGGTAATGTTCAGCTCTCTGTGGCATTTATGTGTATCGTATGTTCAGCACCCACCCCAGCCTATGGATACAATGGTAGGATCTGGGGAAGACACCCTAACAGTAGCTTAGCTTTTTTTCTCTGGACCGAGCATGGCCCTGAGACCCTCTAGTTTCTGAAAGGCTCTGTTGCAGTTGGGTAAGATACCAGCTGCTTCCTGTGACTGGCTTCCTCTTCAGCAAGCCCCTTCCAGACCCCATCCCTTTACCAGCACACTGCTTTCTCATAAAGACAGGCAGTACTGGTATGATAGATACCGCCCAGTCATCACTGATGTGGCCCTAAGCTAAGACTAATTTCTGCATCAACTGCCAGGACCCGGATTCTTAGAGGTCCCTGCCAGCCAGAGAGCCAAGGACTCAAACCAGCTTGCATGGGTGCTCTTTCTCATCTGTGGGATTTTGTGCTGTGCTTCTAGGACATCAGTAGAAGCAGGATATCTCCACCAGCAGGCGTACTTTGTTTTCTAGGGAAAAGAAAGATATTCTCTCCTTCTCTTCCCCAGGCTAAAGCATTCCCTGTAAGCAGACACTGTGGTATTCTCATTTCCTCTGCCTTTTGCGAGCAAGAGCCCAGATTTCTGACATCCCCTTAGGTAGCTGTTTGTACTCCTACCCCTATGTGAAAGGACACAAGGCGTATTTAGATAAATGTGAACCCAGAGGGAGGCAAGACATTATTTCAGATAGGCTAAGTTGGTGTGGAGCCTATTGAAGGCTATTTCTACAAGCTCTCAGACTGTCCTGCGTAGTGAGGGCACTTGACAGATATGTATATTGTGTGTATTGAGGTGCAGTTAGGACAGAAAAACAGGGAGTGCAGCAGGACAGACACCACTGTTTTCAAAGCCAAGCACAGGGAATGTGCTAGCAACGCCTGGTGCTGGGCAGAAGGGACAATCAGTTCCGTGTGTCAGTGTGAAGAGACAGCAGACACAGATCTGATGCAGGTTCTTTGTTCTTGTTTGCAGTCGCTGTTTTGGCAGAAAACAGTCACATTAAGGGGCTGTTGCGACAACATGGGGTAAATGTCCAGAGCATCGCTGACGTGCATCCAGTTCGAGTCCAGCCAGGCCGGATTCTTAGTCACGTATATGCCAAACTTGGTAGGTCAGGGAAGCATTGGTATATTTGGTTCTAGGGTTGGGCGTGAGGAAAACCTTGTTCTAAGTTCTGAAGACCTGGGCAGAGCACTAAGCAGGTCAACCAGTTGTTCCTCTTCGTTGTGAAGAATGGGCAGGCAAGCAAATTCCCCTCAGCTTGGTCAGCCCATCCCACCATAGGAGGGCCCCACTGTCTGGTAGATCTATTGGAGAATAAGTAATCACTTTGGAATGTCACAGTTGAAAGAGTCACTAGTATCTGGATACAGCTTCTAATTGTTATCTGTGATGCCCCAAAATGCTCATTGTACCCACTAAAGTAGGAATCAGTTCTCTTTTCTTAGAATCTGAATTTGTTCAGTTTATAGCTGACTACTAAATAAATTCAAAGCCAGTATTAATAAAGTTCTTTTAGTAGTTCTGCTCCATCTAGAACAAACTGGCCTTGTTCATGTCCATGCATGAAGAGGGGGGGTGAGATGTGTTCTCTGCTCAGCTTTGTCCCACTTTTTAAAATGCCATGTGTGGTATTAGGAAAGCAAACTCCTGAGTATATTGTCGGACACAAAATTAAGCCCAGACTTAGCCGACATCACTAGAAATAACTCTTACTCTATTTTCTCTAACTCTGCTTTCTCCTTTATATTTCAAATAGGACGAAATAAGAATATGAAGTTGAGTGGTCGACCATATCGCCACATTGGTGTCCTCGGCACCTCTAAACTCTATGTGATTAGGAACCAGATCTTCACTTTTACACCCCAGGTAACAAGATCAGGCCAGCTGGCCATGCTGGTGCATGCCTTTAATTTCAGCACTGGGGAAGCAGAGACAGGTGAAGCTCCATGAGTTCAAGGCCAGTCTGGTCTATGTGAGTTCCAGACCAGCCACAGTTGAGACCCTGTCTCAAAAACAAACAAACAAACAAGCAAGCAAAAGAAACTGAAGGAAAAAAAAGTGGCAGCAGTAGAAATTAGCCAGCATCCTCTCATTAAGTTCTCTTTTCTGTCTGGTAAGCATTTCTACCTGAAACATGGAAAGATTTTATATGCCTGGGATCAGGTGGAGGGATATAAAATGCTTACAGTAGGTACTCGATTGATGTTACTTGAATCAAATTGAGTATGTCATCACTTCCAGACATGAATATATGCTTTACAATGTGACACATCAGTTGGCTCATATCACCTAAACTTAACAGTCCCTAACCCTTGTGAAGGTTGTCATAGGACCCTCAGTATGATACACAGCTGGACTGATGTGCAGGTCCCCAGCCCACAGTTTAATGGCTGTGGTACTTATCTTCAGAATGTTTGTTCTTGAAGAAAACTAATCTAGTGGAAGCAACTAGAAAGATAGACAGTGTGGTCACTTTGCCAGTTGTGAGACACAGCATGGACCCCTGCCTGCCTGAACATGTGGTTGGCTGTGGGATCTTGCCTTGGTAGCTGCCACTTTAAACCTTGCAAACCATTTCCCTTAGTACCAAATTCTAAATGTAGAGCTGAGCGTGCACGAGCACAGAGGTCAGGAGAACAGTTGGATTTTCACCTTCATTGTTGTGGCAGTACCTCTGGTTGGCATTAGGCAGGCATCAGTCAGATAGACAGTTGTCCCAGCTCTCCCTCGCCTGGAAAGTATTTGCAAACCCAGAATCCCCCAAAGGGGTAGCAATTACCACTTTGATTTGCCCTTTGTGGTGAGGACAGTTTTATCCCTGTGGGAGGAGCTGATGGCCCGTCTAGGAGCACACCTTTCCTATCGTACCTGTGTGGCTGCAGCTGCTAGGCACAAGACAGATTTGTTATGTCTCATCTCAGAGAAAGTGGCCACCTGATTGAGGCCAATACCAAACATCTTTCTGGACAGCAGGTTCAGGATCAGCGCTGCCTTGAGTGACTGGTGTCGTGTGGAAATAAGTGAAGGGTGGCCCTTGACTTGGCCTGTTCTAACTTTCAGTTCACCGACCAGCATCACTTCTACCTGGCCCTGGACAACGAGATGATTGTGGAGATGCTGAGGATCGAGCTGGCCTATCTGTGCACGTGCTGGCGGATGACTGGCCGCCCCACACTCACCTTCCCTGTCACACACACCATGCTCAGTAATTCCGTGAACTCCATCTGCTGGGTCATGGGCTCTTATCTAAATGTTTAGGACAATTGCTGTGGACAGTGGCAAATACTGAAGGGGATCCTTAGTCGTTTGGCCTCTCTGTCTCAGGAATCTTCTGTACCATAAGGGTTTTGATTGGGTCGTGCTAGTGAGAACATTGCAGTACATTGTACTCCCAGATGAAGAAAACTCACTCATTATTTTTTTTTTCATTAGCCAATGATGGATCAGACATTCATCCTGCAGTTCTTTCTACAATTAGGAAACTAGAAGATGGATATTTTGGAGGTGCTAGGTAAGTTGGGATTTCTTTTCATTAAATAAGAATAGCATTTACCTTTCTGAAAGTCTTTTACTGTCCTTTCCTCACTGTTTGCATCAGTTTCTGAACCTAGACATGCAGAATTTTAGAGTAAGAAGGAAATTAATCTAATTCTATCTCCCGTGGAAAACTAGAATCAGGTCTAAAGAAACATTGGGTTGATGCTTATTATTCTTTCCTGGGCTCTGGAAGTGCACTGACATAGAGAGGTGAACACAGCAGTCTCTCAGAGGTGTCTTTCCTGGAACATGACCTAGGGAGGGGCCAGAGGTGCGCAATTAAAGCTGACTTGACAGATTTCTCGAGGGCCCCCGGAAACAGAGCACCTTATTAGTCCTGCATGAGACGCTCTGCACCAGCTTCAGTAGCATAAGACCTATTTGGGTCTGTTAGCCTAGAGTATGACTCTCGGGTGTGATTCTAGGCACCTTAGGTGAATAGGGTTGCTAACTCTATAGGAGTACCTTTCTCATTTTGTCCCTCTGAGTGATGCATGGTAGATTTCTCTGTAGACTCTATATCCTCATCTCCACGAATCTCTTGAGAGTATGTCAGATAACTCCCCAGTGGAGCCTCAGCTGTGCAGACAGACCATGGTACCTTCCCCAGGCAAAGAGAGGAGTCTCTTGGGCTAGTTTAACAGCTGCTGACAGTGTTTGAAGTCAAGTTCCCTCTTCTCGCCTCCTCCCACCTGTTGCCACAGGAAAAGCGTGACCATTTTCTTGATTTCAGGTAAACTACCTTTTACCTTGCCCTTTCCACCATATCTAAGTAGGCAGACCAGTGTGCCAAGTGCATTTCCATCATGTGAGACTGATGGAGGAAGGTCATTGGCTAATAAAGGCACTGCCCTGGCCCATTTTATTGGTTAGAGGATAGGTGGGAGGAGTAAACAGAACAAAATGCTGGGAGGAAGAGGAAGAGAGCTCAGAGACTCAACCGCTTTCCTCTCGGGAGCAGACGCCTGAGAGAGACGCCATGCCCCTCTCCCGGGATGAAGCTCTGACCCAGGATGGACTAGGCTAGAATCTCCCCGGTAAGCGCACCTTGGGGTGCTACACACAGATGATTAGAAATGGGCTAAATTAATATGTAAGAATTAGCCTAGAAGAGAATGGGCCAAGCAGTGTTTAAAAGAATACAGTGTCCGTGTAATTATTTCGGGGCATAAGCTAGCAGGGCAGGCGGATGGGGTGTTGGGGACGCAGCCCCGCCGCCGCCCTTATTACTTCATGAGACTGATCTCTAGAACTTTCCATCTTGCATAACTAAAACACCATACATAAGAAACAACCCTCTGCTGCCCTGCCTGTCTACAGCACCATATCTTCTTGTGTCCCCATAGTTTTAGGCAGATAACTTGTATCATGTAAGATCTTTTAATGACTGGCTCCTTTTATCACCTCACTTTTGTCCTTCAAGGTGAACTTGACCGTTTTTCTAACTTTGGACTCAATTGATTTTTTTTTTGCAGCTCCTAAAGTTGTCCTCTGGGTCCTTGTAGCTTCCTATGGGGCCCATCATAGCCTAAAAGTGGCTTCCCATGCAGCCTGTCCTTGGCCTCTTAGGAATATCAGTCAAGACAGTCCCCACTGTGGCTAGAATCGGAACTCCCATCAGCATCCACTTCGGAGCAGTCTGCCTCTAGCTTGGCTAAGTTGCCACCTAGTATATATAGCATCATGACCAAAAGAAAATATAGCCCTATAATGAACCAACTTACAAAATACATTATTTTATTGAAATCTGATCACTGTAGAAAGATTATAGTATGCAGTTAGGAGTTTTGCAGTATGTTTTGAATGTTGTCTCATTTAGTCTTTGCTTTGTGGCAAGCTAGGGTCTCATCTCTAGACAAAGAACCATAAGCTCAGAGTGCCAGGACTGTAAGACAGATAGGTACAGAAGCACTTTGGGGATCCAGAACCAACCTTTAACCCCTAGGCCTAAGGCCTCCTGCTTACAAAGCACCATGCAGAGAACTGTGGAAAACTTGCAATGCTAGGACTCCCACAGCTACCTGTTGTATTCAGTTGCAGTTAGTTTTGCAATCCTAGGAATCAAATTCAGGGCCTCGGGCTTATATGCTCTCTACCCCAGAGCAACATTCCAGCTCCCAGTTCAGTTCTTGATAATTAAGGTTGAATCTCATTGGACTTCTTTATATTTAAGTCTGGTTTTTTGTTTTTGATTTTTTTTTTTTTTTTTTTTTTTTTTTTTTAGAGACAGGGTTTCTCTGTAGCTTTGGAGACTGTCCTGGAACTAGCTCTTTTAGCTCAGGCTGGCCTCGAACTCACAGAGATCCTCCTGCCTCTGCCTCCCTAGTGCTGGAAATAAAGGCGTGTGCCACCACCGCCCGGCCAAAAGCTTTTTAAGTGACTGTCTTCTTTCTTCGAGCTCTCTTTAGCCTCATAAAGCCCACTCCTTTCACCTGTACCAGACAAGAGATTTCCATTGCATTTTGGTTTTCTGGCCTACTTCCCCAACCCCAGAGCAAAACAAAACAAGCCTTGGAACTGGCCCTTGGCTCTCCACGAGAAGGCTTTTGTTCATTTAAGGGCAGGCTTCTCTTCCCCAGTTGTCATCTTGACATATGCCTTTTGCCCATTGAAACATGGGTGTCTGTGAAGGTAACAGTTGTATTGCATAGTCTGATTTCCTCCATAAACAATTCTATCCTGGATTCTTAGGTTTTCACACATATTGACTAAATCCTGATCTGGTGCTGGTAGCTCAGAGGGAGGTCCTGTTGTCTCCCACTTTAGTATATGACATTTCTGTAGAGCAGAAACAATGTGGACTCCCAGGATCTTGGTTGCTGATGCCTCTTTAGCAAGACCCAAGCTGCCAGTTTTCAGTGGGGCATTTCTTAGCCCAATACAATAGGGCCTGTGCAGGGTGCATTGGTGTCAATCTGAAGATGCTAAATTAATCCAGTGACTCCCTTATAGAGAGAACCTTAACTCTGAGGCATGTGTCTTCCATCAGAAATTCCCTGCGCCCAGCTCACCATGTTTCATGGCAAGTCAAGCACACCGGGAAAATTATTGCTTCTAATCCAGTTGTTAAGGGAGAGAAATTATTGCTTCAAATCCAGTTGTTAAGGGAGAGAAATTATTTCCTCTAATCCACTTGTTAAGGGAGAGAAATTATTTCTTCTAATCCAGTTGTTAAGGGAGAGAAATCCTGGAGGTTGATTCTAACTAAAAGGGGTTTGCACAGTTTATTTTGTAAAGTTGTGAGCTGATCAGGAAAGTAGATTTGTATTTTTTTAGGCTTGGGGACAAAAATTTGTTATGACTCTTTTGACTTTTAAATGCTCTGTCCTTTTCACTTTATACTTGTGAATAAATTTTTTGATTCTTTTGCTTTTTGAGGCACAGTCTTACGTTGTCGAGGCTGGCTTCAAGCTTTCTGTGATGCAGAAGATGGGCCCAGCCTTCTGTTCCTCCTGCTCTTACTTCCCAATTGCTAGAATTACAGGCATTCTCCACCAGGCCCAACTTTTCTATTGAATTTTGGGTTTCTTTCTTGTCTTGTATTGGGTTAGTAGTTACTGGCTCCTACAGAGGTGTGAATTAGCTATTGAAGAGTTTCACAGGGATTCAAGGGGGAAGTCTGTGCAGTCTGCCTGTAGCCCTAACATAGTGCCTTCTCAACAGAGTAAAGCTAGGAAACCTGGCAGAGTTCCTCACTACCTCATTCTATACGTACCTGACCTTCTTGGATCCAGACTGTGACGAGAAGTTGTTTGATGACATCAGTGATGGGAGCTTTAGCCCTGACAGCGAGTTAGAACTGGGAGGATACCTGGAAGACAGCAGCCATCCAGGTACCTTGTGTCAAAATTCTGTGGAGTGTTGGTTGTATTGGTTTCAGCCTTGGCACTATGATAAAATTGCCTAAGACCCAAATACAGAAAATAATTGACAAGCAAATTAACAAAAACAAGGCTTCTGAAGATTCCATTCACTCAGATGAATAAAGTGCTGGTTTAAGAGCCTAATTTACGCTGGCGCCCTTGAAAGGCCTTTCATAGGCCTAGTAGGAAAGTCTCAGTTCATTAATTGATATTTTAAAAAGATGGTTCCCATTTATTTATTTACTCTCTTTTTCTCTGTCTCTCTCTCTCTCTCTCTCTCTCTCTCTCTCTCTCTCTCTCTCTCTCTCTCTCTCTCTCTCTCTCTCTCTCTCTCTCTCTGACATACCATGACATATATAACATATCTGTAGAGGTTAAGGACAACTTTTGGAATTGATTCACCTGCTCTACCATGTGGATTCTGAGGATTGAGCTATGGTTGTCAAGCTTGGCAGCAGGCACCACTGCCCACTGAGCCATCTCACTGCTCCTCTTTTTATTATTTATTTTTTAAAATGGTTCATTTGCACCTCAGACCTCTTGTGAGTTCATTTGCACCAGCTGTTCCTGGTGCTCCTTAAGTGGGTTTTCAGAGCTATTTAAACTAAATGCTGCCCTGAGAGTGAACCCAAAGCTTCATGCATGCCTGTACTGCTGAGCTGCACCACCAGCCTTATAAAATAGATTCTTAAAGGAGAAACACATTGCTTGATTTTTTTAAAGGAATGGTAGGAATGACCTAGTTTTGATTAGATATGAATGGTGAAACCCCACACGTATATAGCATATCTTAATCTGAATATGGTTTCAAGTCAAAGCGACCCATTTTTACTTTGTTTATTGTTTTATTTTGTTCTTGTTTTGTTTTTCAAGGCAGTGTTTCTCTGTGTAACAGCCCTGGCTGGCCTAGAACTCACTACTTAGACCAGACTGTCCTTGAACTCACAGAAATCCACCTGCCACTACCTCCCAAGCGCTGGAATTAAAGACATGTGCCACTACCACCTGGCTCAGTTTTTACTTAGATAACATTTATAAGTGTACAGAAAGTTCCATAAGGCTTAGCTTATTCTAAGATTAAAAGATAGGATTCAGCTGCTATTCTTCATGTTGTTTTCATATTCTACTGCTTACCTTGGGAGGGTGTGACTTAAACACTGTCTCATTCTGGATCTCCTTGGTCTAGAATGAAGATTTTCAAACAATAAATTTATATACACATGTGATGTACCTGTCACTAGCTTTTTCCTTTTAGTTTAGTGGAGGAGCAAATTTATTTAGCTAAATATTGTCTACTCAACAGCTTGTTTTTATTGATTCTTTTCCTTGGTTGTCCAATTGCAGAAAGCCAAGATGAACTTGACCAGTATATCAACCACCTTCTTCAAAGCACAGCCTTGAAGTGCTACCTGCCCCCTCTTTGTAAGAAGTCAGAAGACAGCCATGTTTTCAGTGCTATCCACTCCACTCGGGACATACTTTCTGTGATGGCCAAAGCAAAGGGTTTGGAAACTCCATGTATGTTATTAAGCTCTTCTGTCTGTTAAGATACTTTTTCTTTCTTTCTTTCTTTCTTTCTTTCTTTCTTTCTTTCTTTCTTTCTTTCTTTCTTTTTTTTTTTTTTTTTTTTTTTGCGACAGGGTTTCTCTGTAGCTTGTCTTAGAACTCACTAGGGTTTCTCTGTAGCCTGTCCTAGAACTCATTCTGTAGACCAGGCTGGCCTCAAAGTCACAGAGATTCACCTGCCTCTGCCTCCCAAGTGCTGGGATAAAGGCGTGCGGTACTACAGCTCAGCTAAGATACATTCATTCATCAAAGTCATATAATTCGAGTCAATCCTAAAAGACAAGATGTACCCCCTTCCCCAACCTTCTATTTCCCTGTGACCACTTTCAGTTCTTCTACATGTTTCTTCTGGAATTTCCCTATCTCCATATTTCTAAAATAATGTATTTACTTCTGTCCTTTGAGTTGTCATTTTAACCTATAATGTTATAGTGTACGATCAAGATTTTGTTGTCTTAAATTACCACTTCCCTACTTTGTTTCCTAACCTACAAAGGAAATTGTCTAAAAATTTAGTTCAATCAGTCTTCACACTTCACAGGATATGTACAGATATATTCTTAACCGAACATTATAGTGCACTATGATTACAGTCCTGTTTTTACTTTATGGTTTTTTTGAAATGAACATCATCCTTTTTTGTTTGCTTATCTTCTAAGTCTTCCAATGTCCTCATAATAAGATTTCTACAAGGCAAGTTATATTAATGAATCTCTAGAGTCTTTCTTGGTTACAGAAGGTCTTCTTTCTGGACCAGCTGTGCTATAGGCCTGCTACCTTGACTTGCTTTTTGGGTTAGCATTCCTGTTTTCTATACCTCAATTATCTCTCTTGGCAAAAGATAATTTGGTGAAGGACATCCACTAGCCTTTTTAGAAACGACAGGTAGTGGGTAACATTGAGACTTTACAGGTCTGAAAATGCTTGCAGATATTTTATATCCACTTGGCCGCTTGTCTGAATGGAGGATCTAGATTAAAAATACATTTTTCTTCAGATTTTTAAAAGTATCACTTCATAGAAGTAGTTGGTGTATACGTGTATGCATGTGTATTTGTATGTGTGTGCATGTGTGAAGGCTGACAGTCCAACCTTGGCTCTTCCTCAACAAGGATGCTTGCCACCTTTTATATCTATTTTGTTCTGTGTTTTTGAGATAGGGTTTCTCACTGGCCTAGGGCTCACTAATTAGGCTAGGCTGGCTGGTTGGCAAGCCTTAGGAATCTTTCTGTCTCCACCTCTAAAGGATACGTGCATGTAGCCATGTCCGGCTCTCTCTGTAGGTATGGGAGCTCAGGTCCTCATACTTGGACTGCAGGCGCTTTCCTGATGGAGTGCTCTTCAGTTCCTTGTCATATTCTTAGTATCAGCCTCAGATGTGGACTCCACAGCCTGCAGATAAATAAAGGAGAACCTTAGAATGTGTCACATAAACGGAGAAGAGGGTTCTCTTCGGGTAATGTTTACTTTCTGGTATGTTCTCACTTGACTTTTCCAAAATTTTGTCTTAAGCATACACTTATTTTTCTGTGAACTCTTTATTAACCACACTGAATTTTAGTTACATTTATTTTTTATTTGGTGTGGGTGTGGGCACACATATGGAGGTCAGAGGGCAGCTTGTCATATGGGATCCCAGGATTGAGCTCAGTTTATGAGGCTGGGCAGTAAGCAATTTCACCCACAGAGTCATCTCAATGACCTATGTATAATTAATTTTGTAAGTAGAGAAAAGTAAAGAAATAAACATAAAGCACATCTTTTAGTCACCACATTTTAATCATTTGTTTTTGAAGTCTAATATGATCACATCATTTCCTCTTTCCTTCCTCCATACCCTCCTGTATATCCCTCCTTACTCTTTGAAATCATGATCTCCTTTTTAATCAATTGTTGTTGTGTGCATGTATGTACATGTCCCAGAAAGCAACACCCTCAGTTCCATTAACATTCCCAATTAGTCCCTTTCTTACTCCTAGGCAGTCATTAATCTGTCTCTATATTTTGTTAATTTTGGATCTATAGAATAAATTGATGCATACCATATACGGTTTTTCATGATTGGCTTCTTATATATACATATATATTTCTAAATATAACCTGCTTGATCTGTATAATGTTACTTGTATGTACATTTTTAGGGCTAGCCATTTGGAATTGGATAACCAATTGGTATACTCTTCCCTGGAGAAGACTATTTCTATAGCTCTCAGCATTCTTTAGTTGACTGTATTTTTTTGTTTTGTTTTGGTTTGCTTTTTTATATGTGTGTACGACTGAGAACTCATGGGCTTTCTTCTGTCTACTTTTGTTGTGAAATATTATTTTAAGATGTGTTACATTTGCTTATGCTGCAGAATATTTATTTGATGATGAAAAGATATGGTGCCTTCTTTTATGTTGCATTTGTTTAACTTTGAAGCTATATTACTTTGTCTGTCTAAAACACCGGATTGGTGTAATGTAAAGCTGAACAGACAATAGCTAGGCAGGAGAAAGGATAGGCAGGGCTTACAGGCAGAGAGAATAAATAGGAGGAGAAATCTAGGAAGAGAAGATTGAGGAGAAAGAAAAGGAGAAGGAGAGGAGGACTCCAGGGGCTAGCCACCCAACTGCACAGCAGGCCACAGAATAAGAAGTAAAGAAAGGCATATAGAATAGAGATAAAACCCCAGAGGGAAAAGGTAGATGGGATAATTTTATTAAGAAAAGCTGGCTAGAAATAAGCCAAGCTAAGGCTGGGCATTCATAAGAAAGAATAAGTCTCTCTGTGTGTAATTACTTGGAAACTGAGTGGTGGGCCCCCCAAAGAGTAAGCGTTACAAAAAAAAAACAACATATTTTGGCATGTCTGTTTTTGTTGTCTGTTTAGGTGGTGATGTTAGTGAGACTTCGTGGGTGTAGCTTCTGACATTACTAGGAGACAGCCTCACAGCAAACTCCTTGATCCTCCAGCTCTTACAGTCTTTTTTCCTGCTCTTCCACATTGCTGTCTGAGCGTTACATGTGTGAGTGTTGTAGATGTGTTCATTGGAACTGAGATCCACAACTCTGCAGTTTGATTGGCAGTGCTTTTCTGTAATGGTCTCTTTCTGTTTCAAAGAGGTGTTTCCTTGATGAAGGGTAAGGACTACATTTATCTGTGGGTATAAGGATAAATGCTTAGATTAGGGATTATGTTACTTTACTAAAGAGGTGCTTGTAGGTTCTCCTCCAAGAACCATATCTTCATTAACGCTGAGGAATTTTCTAAGTTTCCAGTACCAAATATGTTTTTCTTCTTGTTGAATGGATCTTAAGTCCAGTTAGAGAGCTTTAGGTTACCACCACGATATGTATGCCACCAAGGTATGCATAACCTTCGGGTTATCGTGCCATGCTGGCTATTGATGTGGTTCATGGGCATCATAGCTGCTAAGTAGGACTGTTGGTTGCTTCTCTCCTTTAAAAGTTTGCATGATGCCTTCTGGTACCATGAAAGCTAGTCCTCAGGGAGGATACACTGAGGTTAATTCTACCTCATGGAATTTATATTGTGGAAAGATTTTCTCTCTCCTTCGCTTACGGTAGATAACATTGCTGGGTATATTAGTCTAGGCTGGCTATCATGGTCTTTTAGGATTTATAATGAATTACTCCAGGATAATCTGGCTTTCAAAGTTTCCACTGAGAATCAGCTGTTAATTCTGATGGCTTTTCCTTTATACGAAGCATTTATCTAATTAGTCTTTATTAATAAAATCTTGGGATTCACTCAGGCAGAGGCAGGCAGATCTCTGTGAGTATGAGGCCAGCCTGGTCTACAAGAACTAGTTCCAGGACAGGCTCCAAAGCTACGGGGAAACCCTGTCTTGGAAAACCAAAATAAATAAATAAATAAAAAACCTCAGGGTTCAGATATCACAGTTAGAACAACTGATCACAGAAGCAGCAGAGAAATGACCAGTGACCGACCCCTCCCCCCCCCTCTCTCTTTCTCTATCTCCTGCCTTCATCTAAAACCGCTGAGACTCTTTCTAGGCCTCACCCTACCGCTTCCTATGTCTCTCTATATGTCCTTGGTCCTCCAAAACTTTTATGACTAATTTTGGTCAGCTAGTAGCTAACTTCATCCTCTGATTCAAGGTAAACTTTATTCATAGTCTCAGGAGTGTCCAAGTACAATGAAAATATCTCACAACATTTATATGTAACTTGTGTTTTTTTCTATGGTATGCCATGGTGATTTTCTTCTCTGGTCTTTTCTATTTGGTGTACTTGTATAGGTGTGTCTTTCCTTAGTTTGGGGAAGTTGTCTTCTGGACCTTGAAAATCTGGTGTATGCCATTGACTTTGGATTCTTCTCCCTCATCTATACCTATAATTCAAAGGTTGGTCTTTTCATGGTATCCCACATTTCCTGTACGTTTCCCTGTGTGTGTGTTTTAATTCATGTTACTTTTTATTTTTGGTTTCAAGCCTCTACTTTTCTTCAAGTCCTGATACTCAATCTTCTCTTTTTTTTTTTTTTTTTTTTTTTGGTTTTTCGAGACAGGGTTTCTCTGTGGTTTTGGAGCCTCAATCTTCTGTTTGATTCATTCTACTTGGAAGGCTTTCCTTTGAGTTTTCTAGTTAAATTGTTGAGATTTTCAATTCCATCTTCATTTCAGCTTAAATCCTCCTCAGTGTTTGTCTTCTTACTGAACTCCATTCCCAAGTCCTGAATTGTTTTCACCTTTTCTAGCAGCCTTATGTTTGTTTTTTCTTGTACATTGCTCAGGCATTTAGTCTCTTTAAGCTCTTTCTCCTTAATTTCATTTAGCAGTTTGTTTGTGTTTTCTTCAAACTCCTTGACAAAGTTTATGGATCCTTTAAATTCTGTGTACTAGAATTCATCTAGGGAACTCTCATTGGCAAAAAATTCTATAGGACTTGTAAGATTCAGAAAGAAGGTACTAGTATGAGCGATCTCTCTCTCTCTCTCTCTCTCTCTCTCTCTCTCTCTCACACACACACACACACACAGAGAGAGAGAGAGAGAGAGAGAGAGAGAGAGAGAGAGAGAGAGAGAAGAAATGAACTTGTAGAGTTCTTTTAGTTCTAAGTCTGATATGGATAGGACAGCTCAGGATAGAAAAAAGGTGTCTTGGTGAGTGAGATGGGCCTAGAGATTGGAAATGGCTTGGGTGGAATGAAGTCAGATGGATAAGTGGCATGGCAGTGGCCTTTGTGTTTGGAGGTAGGCAGGGCCCATCCTGTGGGAAACTGAGAGATAGAATGTGGTGCAGGCTGGGGTGGCCAGGCTAGGCTGGGGCACTGGGTATGGGACCTGAGTTAGGTCTGGTGGGGTGAGAAGGTGGGTGGATGAGTGAGAGACTCACCAGGCTAGAACCTGGAGAAAGATGTGGAGATATGGCTAGGTGAAGAGGGTCCTATATTGATTTTTTATTTCAAATATTAGCTGATTTTAGAGACTTTTAAGATCTTCTGTTGAGAGGTTCTGAAATTTTAATTGTATGTCTTAACCTGGGGATGTCTTCATCTGCTGTATTTGATACTCAGTGAACCTTCTGTTCTGAAAATTTATGGTTTTCAATTCTGTCAACTTTTTCTAAAAACTTTTCATCTCCTTCTTCACATTATCCCTGTCCTTTCTTCCATATATTTTTATTAATTTCTTGGAGAAGTTTTCATAATTTCTGTTTTCCATATTCCTAATCTGTTCTGAGCAGAATTAGCTCAACTTTTTTCCCTCCCTTCAATTGATTTTTTTCATTTTTGCTATTGTTTTAATTTTCATCTTCCAAATTCCATCTGCTCTTGTTTCATACATGTTTTAATATAATTTCTTATTATTCTAAAAACATTAGAGATGGACGTTTTACCTTATTGTTTACACTTTCTTCTCCCTGAATGGTTCCCATTTCCAAGTACCTTTTCCTTTGAGTAAAGGTTTCTACTTCTCACTGTGACGTTCCTCCTACAGCACAGGGTGCACAGCCGCTACTGTAGGAAACCCTCCAAGCAGGTGGAACTTGTGGCCTCGGCCTGTGAAGTGTAGTTGATTCTTCAGAGGTACTCTACTGTCTCCCGCTCACTGTTCTACTAGAAGGGCAGAGAACTGGTCTCGTGTCTCTCTAAGGAAGGAACTCAGGCCTTCAGATATGTTAGTCTGTGCCCAGGCATCCTGCCTCTTTGCCTCTCTTTGGAGAGTCCTCTAGCCTTATGTCTTCCCGAAAGGGGCAGACACCATGCCTTGTGCAGAAAAGCAGAACATCTAGGATTCTCACAGCATCTCACACACTGTCTCTTCAGGTTTTTTTTTTAATTTTTATTCCCTTGAATTCCATACCTGTCCCAGAAGTACCCAGGACAGCAAACCTTAGACTTCAAAGGTTTCTCTGAAGGTAGATCTAACTGGTTCATTTATTTCCCTATTGTATTCTTGAAGTTTGTTGACCTGTATTTTCTTTTTCCTTTTTAAATAATCTTTATTTCTTCTTCTCTCATATATTATGTCCCAACCACAGTTTCCCCTCCCTCCACTCTTCCAAGTTCCTCCCACCTTCCCTCCCCCAGATCAACTCCCTTTCCCTTCAGAAAAGGGCAGGCCTCTCAGAGTTAAAGCTGAACATGCATAACAAGTTTCAGTAAGACTCGACACATACCCTCATATTAAGGCTGGAGGAGGCAGCCTAGCAGAAGGGAGAGGGGTCCCAAGAGCAGGGAAAAGAGTCAGAGACAACCCCTGCTCCCACTGTTAGGAGTCCCACACAAACACCAAACTGCCATCACCCTAACATATATGCAGGCCCCGTGTTTTCTAAATCACTTGTCTTTCAACCTTTGTCTTCGCTATTTCTGAAAATGCTATTATTGTCTTTTCTGTTTTTAACCGATTCTTGACGATTTGTCCTTTTTTGGGGGGGTCTTAGTTAGATGTTTTTGTTCAGTGGTTGTTTTGTTTTTTTGGTGACAGTATCTTGTTGTGTGGTACAGGCTGGCCATGAACTCAGCTGACTTTGAATTTGTAGTCCTCTACAGACTGCTGGGATTACAGATGTGAACCATTTAGCTTGCTTTAAGAATCCTTTTGAATATGCGTTAGTGAGGGAGCTAGGAATATGGCTCCGTGGGTAAAGGACTCACTGAGCAAGCATGAGGATCTGAGTTCATCTGTCCAGCAGCCGTGTAAAATCCAGGCATAGCAATGCACATCTGTAACTCCAGCACTGCAGCTGTGGCAGTGGGGAGTGGGGGTCGGGAGGCCAATCCCTGGAGCTGAATGAATGAACTACAGGTTCAGTGAAGAGATGCTATCTCAAAACATAATGTGGAAAGAAACAGAGGAAGAAACGTAATGCAAAGCCCTGGCTTCCCCATGGATGTGCACAACACAGAAAATACACATGAGCTACTTGTTAGTTTTCTGAGTTATAGTATAGCCTGAAAGACAGAGACATCATACTGAAGGACTACAGATAATAAAAACATCCAGAGATGATAAAAAATGAAATCCAGAGCAACCAGCAGCGCTAGAATTAAACTGAGCAGGAAGCCCAGACACCTCGATCATGAAACTCTGTGACCTTGGGCAAATGTTCCACCTTCTCTAGGTCTCAGTTTTGCCATCTAGAAACTAAAAGAGAGAAGTGGGGGGCTGGAGAGATGACTTAACAGTTTAGAGCACTGGCTGTTCTTCCAGAGGTCCTGAGTTCAATCCAACAACCACATGGTGACTCAAAACCATCGCTGGTGGGATTTGGTGCCCTCTTCTAGCATAAAATCGTATATGTGGCTAGAGCACGCATATAATAAATAAATAGGAAGCCAGATGTGGTGAGACAAGCCTTCAAAAGAGATGGGGAGGGAGGAGTGAAGTCAAGCATCACCTCTTTTAAATCTGTTTGCAGGCCTAAAATGCCCCATACCTACCAAAAGAAGGACTTTGTCATTATCCTTCCTCACGAGCGCTTTCTTCATTGTTTTCTCTTCCAGTTTTTCCAATGGTTTTGCCAACTAAAGTTCTAAGTGGACACCGTAAGTCACTGAATCTTGTTGACTCCCCTCAGCCACTCCTAAAGAAGGTAAAGTGTTTTGAATTGTTTTGTTTTGTTTTAACGTAATACTTGATAATACCAGGTTAGTCCCAATAACTGTCTCAAATGGTGACACTTTAAGAGCTTATTTCTTTATACCCAGAGTTTCACAATTGAGACAGTCTGCCTGTTGCTGTGAATCTATGCACGTAGTTGTCTGGAATGCAATTTGCATCATTGCATGCTCTGAGTTTGGTGCATACCTTTGCGTTTTGCCTGGAGGAAAAGGCCTCTTACTGCCTCTCTGCCTGTTCTTCAGAACATAGGAAGTAATAGAAGAAGTACACTTAATTGCCTTCCTTATCTCATCTGAGCCAGCCGGAGCTCAGAACAGAGCATGGGACTTTATTACTTCATTACTCACACCCTTTGGTCTGGTTTTTGAAAACAAGGTCTGGTTTTGGCCCAGGCTGCTCTTGAATTCACAGTCCTCCTGCACTGGCCTGTCAAGTACCGTTATAAATGTGCACCCCTACAACTGCTCCTTCATACTCTTAATGTAATGAGATTCTTAAAAACCATGATGTCACGGGGTGTTGGGCCTTTTTTTACTGTTTTATTCATACAGATTTCCTGATTTTGTCCCATATGAATCAAAATATCCAATGTCTACTGGAGAATATTTTAATCTCACCTCATTTTTTAGGTAGTTTTAAACAAGTACTTTTTTTATTCTAAAAGATATTTCATTGAAAGCTTGCTGTGCTAGCATTGACTATAATTCCAGCGCCAAGAAGGCAGAGGCAGAAGACTGCAAATTTTCAGTCAACTTGAGTACATAGCAGGTTCTAGAGAAGCCTGGACTACATGATGAGAGCTTATTCAAGAAAACGAACCAATATGTTCTTTTAATGTATAACATATATACAGAAAAGCACACTCACCAGTAGAGTACTGTGAACTGCCACTGAGTCAGTATGCTCTTGTGCCTCCTCCTAGTTAGCCCCATCCTATAGTCCCAAGATAACTGCTGGGCCTGTGGGTGTGACTCAGTGGTAGACTGTTTCTCTTGCAAGGTCCTGGGTTCCATTCCCAGTCGTAGTGGAGAGAAGCACGGCTCTTAAGATCTGTAACAGTAGAAGTTGGTTTTTTTTTTTGTTTTTGAGTTTTGCATAAATAAAACTGATATGTGTTTTAATCTGTTCAGTCTAGTCCCTTGCAAGTGCTGACTGACATAGATCACTATTGAAGATCATAAAGGCCTGTAAATAACATAGTACAAAAGATTTCCTGAAAAAAAAATGAAGCCTAGCATAGTGCTAGCATTCAAAAGCAAGGTTGGTGTTGCACTTTATGGTCATCTAAAAGTTCCCATTATCAACTCCTTTCCCTCCATTTTGGCTTTTATGTGGCCAGACTCCTGACTATGACTACCAGTGGCCCAGAGATGACCATGGTGAAATGGACTGTGAGAAGCTAGTTGGGCAGCTGAAAGACTGCTCAAACCTCCAGGACCAAGCAGACATTCTGTACATTCTCTATGTGATAAAGTAAGTGCCTTAATGCCTTTGGGCTACTATACCCCATCAGCTGCCAGCATAAAGAACAGAAGCGTATCTCATAGTATACCGAGTACAGTGTCTGGTGACGTCTACTTCCTCATGGATGGTGCCTTTCCACCCTTCCTCACATGGTGGAAGGGAGGCACAGCAAGTCTCTGGGAACTCTCATAATCTGATGGATTATGAGGATCTTTCTTCATGGCCTCCTTACTTTCCAAAAGCTCTACCTGCCAATACCATAACTCTGAGGTTAGCATTTTCGTATGGGGATTTGAGGGGGACACAAGCATCCAAGGTATAGCAGTAAGTTTATGGAGTTCACCATGTTGAACGTAGTTTTCCTGATCTGTTGGCATTGTAGCAGTGCCAGGCCATGATCACATTCACCCAAATTACCTAGGATCTTCACACACGAGACTTCTATCCCTTTCTCTGTTTCTTGATGCTGGCCTTCCAGAAGTCTGGGTGAAGCCAGGATACCATTGTGATGTGTGAACACTAGGCTTTTGTTTCAAAAGACATGGCATAGAAATGTTTGCTTAGCCTGAACTGTCTTGGTGAGCCTCAGAGTTACTTAAAATGTCCAAATATTGGCAAAATTCACAGCAGTCCATGTTTTAAAACAGCTTTGACAGTATGACCTTTATCTTTGTATTTTTCTGCCTCCTTTCAGGGGTCCCAGCTGGGATACCAATCTGTCTGGACAGCGTGGAGTCACTGTTCACAGTCTTCTTAGCGAGCTCTATGGAAAAGCTGGCCTAAACCAAGAATGGAGTTTGGTCCGCTACATTTCAGGCCTGCTCAGGAAGAAAGTGGAGGTCCTGGCTGAGGTCAGAATCTGCGTGCGTGCCGGGTTGTCCATTTATTCTCTCTAGCCCCATGTTTCCTTCTTCTGGTCTTCTAGTTGTGGAAGCTCAAGGCAAGTGCCTCTTGTCACTAAAGGAACTCAGGGAACCTAAGCCAGCACTGGACAGGCCCTCTCCTGACTTCATTGCTCTAGAAGGAGAGGAGAGAAGAAGGGATTTTCAAGTTGATTAGTTTGTTTCTTTCTTCACCACAGAAAGCAATCACATGAAACAAAGTCCTTCTTTCTACATGTCACAGTACAGTAATCGTTAGTGTTTATATCCCTGAGGCCCTACAAAATCCAGAACCACTTCCTGTGGCTTTAAGCAAGTGTTCTTAAGATGCTAGTCATTGTTACATATCAATACTGAGGCGCTTGTAAGCTTGGAACACAGTGTGGCTAGTAACTCTAATCTTTGCTCTCTGAAGCCTCATCCCTGCCTTGTCCAAATAGCAGGGAGTCCGGGGTGTCTGCTCTAGTGGATGGACCAGGCCTGGAGCCATACCTGGGAGACACAAAGATTACAGGAATCTAGCCTATGTGGGTTGCTAAGACAGGGTTTTAGGTTTGAATTTCTCTGAAGGGCAATATGGATAATGAAGTTCATAAAGGCAAATTTCTGTTGCTGGTGGCACTTAACTGTCTCAGTTAGTTTTGCTACGTTTATATTCCTTTGTACACCTCTCCCTCCCCCACAAAAAATGTGCAGGCCTGTGCAGATCTGCTGTCCCACCAGAAGCAGCTTACAGTCGGCCTGCCCCCTGAGCCCCGGGAGAAGACCATCTCCACGTGAGTCCTTGCTGGAGGTGCTCCCCAATCTGTAGAGGAACACAAAGAGAGCATTGCAGTTGGGAAGCGGTGGCAGCGGCTTTTGGAAGATACTCTGTCACATGGGTGCTTGTAGTATAGAAAGTAGGGAACTTAAAGTGAGAGCAAGGTGGCCCTGCTCTGAGGCACCCATTTTGTGTGACCTGCTGCTCTTTCCTAGGCCTCTTCCCCCAGAGGAGCTCACAAAACTCATCTACGAGGCCAGTGGACAGGACATCAGCATTGCTGTCCTCACACAGGTCAGATGCTGATACAAGAAGGGCCTGCTGGGCCACAGCCTAACTCAGGGTGCCAGTAGGCCTCTCAGGTTCCCTGAAGCCCTCTTCCCATCTGCACCAGGAGATCGTGGTTTACCTGGCCATGTATGTCCGGGCCCAGCCTAGCCTCTTTGCAGAGATGCTCAGACTCCGAATTGGATTGATCATCCAGGTGATGGCCACAGAGTTGGCTCGGAGCTTGAACTGCTCAGGTAAATTGTCATGGCTTGCCAACCCTTCCATCTCAGCCCTACCTCAAGGCCTTTCTGTGCAGAGAGCCACACTCAGGCACTTCTAAATAGACTTCCACTCTGGGTGATCTTAGGCTGTCCCAGGTTCCTTTGTGAGAGGTGGTTCCTGTCAGGCCACATAGCACAACAACGTTCCTCACTGGGGTTGGCAAAGCAGCTGCCATGTTTTCCTGAGAACCTTTGCTGTACCTGACAGCTAAGCTCCAGTGATAGCCTCACTGTAAGATGTCACCCTCTACTTCCTAGCACCTTCACTGAGAGAAATAATGATAAACATCATTTGCAAACCACATCCCAGCAGCAGGGATCAGTGCGGTGGGAAAAATTCTATGTCTAGGAGTTAAATGCATCTGTACTGACCTAAACAGAGGTGTTTGTATTTCCCAAGGATTAATGTTTGTCAGGCTTGCAGCACCAGTGAAGGAGTCATGAGCAAGGAGACCCACCAGTACCTTCTATATCACCCTCTCCCACCCGAACTACCCACTACCAGCCCATGTCTGGGCCCCTTATAAAATGTTTGCTTCTAGGAGAAGAAGCCTCAGAGAGTTTGATGAACCTCAGCCCCTTTGACATGAAGAACCTCCTGCATCATATTCTGAGTGGGAAGGAGTTCGGTGTGGAGAGAAGCGGTGAGTGAGTGCTGTGAGGCCTTCATGGGGACCCACGTGCAGATCAGCACCAGCGTCAATGGTTCCCCTATAAGGAAGGAATGTGCGCTTCCTCTTTCAGTGGGATGGACTGGGGCGTGGGCGCAGGGTTCCTGCCTGTAGGGCCAGGGAGCGCCCTCAGAGGGTTGCATTCCTTTGTAGGTTATAGCGGTATGTGAGCTGAGCGAACTGCACACCTTTGTACCCTGCATCTCCTGCATCCCTAAGTGTCAGGATCACACGTCTGCCCTTACAAGATACCCCCTGTGGCCTGGCTTTTGGTTTCCATCATCAAAGCGTTTGTAGCCAGGGGGTAGAAGGCAATGCTGGATGACCCGTGGGGGCCGGTGCGCTCACTGTAGCCCAGTGTTACTCATTTAGTTTTTAGCCATCTTGGAAATCTGCTCGCAGTGCTAAGAAATCTAATCACCCAAGTCCTGGTGTGCTTCTTGTTCCCAAATGTTCCCTAATTATAATTGAAGCAATTATCATTTCTCCTCATAAAAAAGCTAAATGATTTGCAGACACATTGGTGAATTTATTTCATCAAGCCAAAGAAACACACTGTGGGCTATCATTCTTTTTATTTAATAAGAAGGACACTGGGTACTTTGTATTTTTCCTAAGTGTGCGCCAGCTTCAGACAAAGCCGCATGGGGCAATCAGCTGTCTATTCGTGGTTTTCTGCTTTCTGGGGAGGAGGACTTGTGATCCGTACCCAGAAGTAATTTACAGTTATTTCAGGTACACAATCCTTGAAATGTAAATGGAAAGGATAAATAGTTAATGTGTTCGGTTCCTCATAGTAGTGTACATGGTTTGACAGGTCATTAAATGTAAAGCTATATAGATGCTTGCAAAACCAATAACTGAGGAATGTCATTTGAATGTCATTGCATGTCTCATTGTAAATAAGGACAGAAGACATGTTATCTTTTTTAAACGTAACATTTCTTCACTATCTTGTAACTTGTCTTAGTTAGGGTTTCTGTTGCTGTGAAGAGACACCATGATCATGGCAACTCTTATAAAAGGAAACATTTAATTGAGGTGGCAGCTTACAGCTCAAGGTCCAGTCCATTATCATCCTGGTGGGAAGCATGGCGGTGAGCAGGCGGACAGAAATGGTGCTGACTACATCTTGATCAGAAGGCAACTGGAAGTGGACTCAGACACTGAGCCAAACTTAAGCATATGAAATCTCAAAGCTCGCCCCCACAGTGACACACTGACTCCAACAAGGCCACACTTATTTTAACAAGACCACACCTCCTAATAGTGCCACTCCCTATGAGCTTATGGGGACCAATTACATTCAAACTAACACATAACTGTTCAGTTTTTATAAGCTAGGAAGCCAAAATTCTGACTAAATCCTAAAATTCTGTTTCCAAGAAACACTTTCCCTCAAACACAGTGGAGCTTCCCACACCCCATTTGGCTTCTGTTTTCCATTTCTTTGGTGCCCCTCCTCCTGCTTGACCCATCTTTGGGTTCCCTAGAAAATGACCTTTGTGGTGGGCCTACAAAAGGAACAGTAGAATGGGAGAGTATTGTGTGCAGATGCCCACAGGGGACCCTATCAGGAGATCTTTCTGTGGCACCACAAAGACTGTTTGGGCTTTATCCTGAAGACAGATTTAGACCCAGGAGGATTCCAAGGGAACAGTAATAGGATCACATTTGCCTTTCAGAATAATCCCTTATGACCATTGTCTTAGAGACCAGAGAGAGAGAGAGAGAGAGAGAGAGAGAGAGAGAGAGAGAGAGAGAGAGAGAGAGGGCGCAGAGCTGGGGACAGGTTACTAAGTGGTAAGGCTAATGGCATATGGTGGAAAGAGGTATGGCCTTGTGTCATGGAAAGAGCAGCCTTGCCCCTGTTCTATTGTAGCACCACGTGCCTGGCTTTGGTAACTTTCCACTCCACCCCTGAGCTCTCTAGCCAGCTCAGCCTCTGCTTCCTCCCAGAGGCCTGGGTTAAGATCTCTGTGCCCTGATTTCTATCCATCCTGGATGCCGCTGCATGTGTACCTGCACCCAAGCCGAGAAAAGGCTTGATGAGGGTACCACAGCAGTTGTCCGACAGCCACAGGAACCTAAGTTCTAAGCCCTTCAGATGGCTATGCAGCAGTTTTGTCATTTTGCCAGGGACATTTGGCATAGAGAGCTTGGCAAGGTCAGTATGGATCCTACACGGTAGTCAAGATGAACTCTTTAGAAAATCACAGATAGAATCAGGTGTGCGCCTCACTCTGAGATCAGATGTCATGCAGTCATTAGACATGCGAGAGAATGTGTAAAGCTGTGGAAGAACACTCACAGAATATTAATTGCTGAAACAATAAGCTTGTTTGCATATTATGTATGGATATGTCATGTATATAATATAAAGTTTTTCTTTGTACATATATGTGACATTGCATAAGGTAAAAACATGGATCCGGAGGGGAAAATTGGCAGGATAATGAGTGAAATGTCAACAGATGTTACTTCTGGCTTCCTTGGGTGGTCTCAGTTTTCCACAAAGAAAATGTGTTTTGGGTAAGTAAAAAAATAGTTTTCCAAACCATTTCAGTCAGCCAACAGTTTTCTGCCACCCTGTTCTGTGCCTGCTGCTCAACACTACCCACATGTGGGAGTCTGAGTGTAACTGGCCCCCAGAAGCTCAGAGTGGCACAATCTAGAGGTGTGGCCTTGTTGAAGTGGGTGTGGCCTTGCTGAAATGGGTGTGGCCTTGTTGAAGGAAATGTGTCACTGTTGGGTCTGGTTTTGAGGTCTCTTGCTTAAGCTTCACTCAGTGCTTAAGCCACTTCCTTTTAACCTTCTGATCAACATGTAGTCAGCACCATGACTGCCTGCTCCCTGCCATGTTCCCCACCATGATAGTAATGGACTGACCGTCTGAGCTGTAAGTTGCCATCCCAATTAAATGTGTTCCTTTATAAGAGTTGCTATGGTCATGGTGTCTCTTCACAGCAACAGAAACCCTAACTAAGACACCACACTTTCACACAGCCCTTCAGGCCTCATGCCTGTGCTACCTACCTTCAGCACTGTAATCCCAGTTCTGCTTGGGGCAAGTTAGGTGTTCCTCTCATCAAGTTTACAGTCAAGTAGGGAAGAGGTACGGACTTCAGAAGCATGTTGTCCATGGTGCTTCTCTCAAAGCAGGTGCGATAGATTCCCTAATAACCTCATTTGTGCGTTTCCCTTTCAGTGCACCCAATTCACTCCTCCACATCCAGCCCTGCCATCTCCATCCATGAGGTGGGTCACACTGGTGTCACCAAGACTGAGAGGAGTGGTATCAACAGGCTAAGGAGTGAGATGAAACAGGTAAGAAGGCCTTAGCATGGCAGCCATAAGGGAGGGGTATACATGGTTCTTCTGCCAGGGCTCACCTCAGAAAGACAAGGGCATGAAGCTTTGACCTGCTCCCTGTAGAAGTTGTGGAATGGGAACACAGCCCTGTATCCCAGGAAGGTACCCTGTAGGCATTCACACGGGCTCATGCCCACCAATTGCTAGCCTTCATGTGCTGTACATGCACATTCTAGAATAACCCCTTGTCCATCTTTGTTTTTGTGCAGTCATGAGGATGGAGAAATGGATCAAAAGTTAAAAGCACTGGCTGATCTTGGAGAGGACTGGGTTCAGTTCCCAGCATCAACATGACAGCTTTGAGCTGTCTCTGAATCCATTTCTAGGGGCTCTGATGCCCTCCTCTACCTCTGCAGACAGCAGGCACATGGAGACAAATACTCATATCATAAGATAAAAATAATTTTTTTAAGAAAAGTGGAATAATGTCAAAAGACACAACCATTTCTCTACCAAATGTGTTCTTCATGTGAAATAGCCAAGAGGATGTGGACTAGGATAATCATGATACCTATATTTACTACCATCCATGGTTGTCTGCTTTCTAACTCACAGTAGAGAGCTTTGGAACTGACCCTCACAGGTCTAAAGTTCAATACCATTTCAGCCCTGATGTGCCTGATACTGAGCTAGGAGATGACCACCACCCGGACAACAGTCTGGTCATACACTAGTCACCCTGGCTTAGGTCTGTGAGGCAATAAAGGCCAGCCCCTGAGGTGCGACCAGCTTGCCCTGGCTTATCAGAGGGAGCAGTGCAGCATCATTAACTGGAAGCAGGCTTTCACCTCCTGATGTTTTTACTTGCAGATGACTAGGCGAGCTAGTGCTGATGAGCAGGTGAAGTGTCTTGTTCTGTCTGTCCTTCTCTGTGGTCGCTACATGCTCTTTCGGGCTTGAGCATGGAAAGGGAAGCTGCAGATACAGAGTGTGGATGGGCGCGTGGTGGAATGGCTCAGTAGCTCAGGCAGCCAGCCCCAGAGACAGGGAGCAGGATGAGAAGGCAGGAGAGATGACCTTCCCTGGGCCTTTAAAAAATCCATTTAGGGTGGCCAGTTAGAGCCATCATTTAGGGTGGCTCATTTTGTTAGTGCATGGTACTGATCAAAAGAATTCCATTTATCAAACTCAGCCTTTGTAAAGGTTCTTTGTGAAAGAGATGGCCTAGTCTCTGTCTCCACCAGCATTTCTGTTCAGAAAGAGGAATGTGCTCTGTAATCTCATCAATAGAGAGAATAAGGCTCCTGCCTTTTGCCTACCTGGGGAGATTTAACCCCGGAAGGAAAAAAATGTTAGGACTCTGTGTATATCACCCTGCGATGTACTTCTTCTCTTCAGAAAAAAAAAATGGGCATTTTTTAATTTATAGATTTATTTTTGAGATGGGAACCTCCATGCAGCCCTGGCTATGCCCAAACTCCTGGGCTAAAGGGATCCTCATGCCTCAGCTTCTTGAGTAGGTGGGACTGCAGCTGTGCACTGCCGCTTTGGATTCTTATTTCTAATGATTTGCCATGTTTCTGTGACCAGAGAAAGTACATGTATGATGGCACATAGTGCAGGCTGCATGTTTTCTCAGAGCATAGACCCTCCAGAGTGTCTCATTTATACTCCTTCTAAGGAAATGATTCTCCAAACATCTTCCTTTGTCAGCCACTCGGTGGCACCGTCCCTCTGGCTACCCACAGCTCAAAAGCCTGATCCTGGGTGAATGTGGGTGGCTTCTTCCATTTAGTGCTGCCCTTGCCTGTGATGGGGGTGAAATGATTACCTTTCTTCTTTGTTGTGTTTATATTCAGTCAGCCAGTACCAGTTTTGTAGCTGACCACTCATATCAAGACGAGTGTTCACTGGTGAAAATTTAACAGGTGTCATGGTGTTGTGTCTACTCATTTTTGCAAGCATACCACAGACCAGTATGCAAATTCAGGGTGCCATCTAGATTCTTAGATGAGGAGAGATGTTTACGGTCCAGGGTCATCGGCCTGCTCTCCACGTACATTTAACAATAATCTCTGGGATACCCGTCAGAAGACAGGTGTTAGTGAAAGCTAGGAATATTTTGACCTCTACGGTTGTTGACAGTGCAACATAAGACATTAGCATGGCTGTGACTTTGGAACGTGTGTCCTAGTTTGCTTAGGCCTGCTCCACAAAGAAAAGGAAGCTGGTAATGCTTGCTATTTAGAGCCAAGCTGGGCTGCAAGGGAGCAGTGGGCCTGCATCTGTCACTGCTGCTTAATCAGAGCCTCGCTGGGCCGCGTCTGTCTTCAGTCTCTGCTTTTCACGCTGCTGTGTTTTCACAATAACTGGTTGCATCTCTTGGTGTCACTGCACGTGACTGAGTCTGTTCTTTTTCTTTTGTAGTTCTTTCCTGTGGGCCAGGCTGTGTCCAACAGTTTGCATTCCTTCAAGTCTGCGGTAAATCTGTGTTGGCATCGCTCCCCTCCCTGTGTCCTCCTCCATGTCTGTACTGTCCACGTTCTCTTGTGGCCTTACCCATGCTCCCACCTCGTCCACACTTACATTTAGGGTGTCTATGTGTGTGCACGTCTGTGTCTGTGTGTGCGCGCTCACATGTGTGTAAGGTCACGTGCAGTTTTTGGACATGGAACTGAGGACCTCCCACATGCTAAGCAAACATTCCAGCACCAAACTTCGCCATAACCCTCATCCCTGACTTCTGAAGGTTTGAGTAAAGGCTAAGGCAGTAGTTCTCAACCTGTGTGTCACAAACTCTTTGGGAAGGGGTGAGATAATCCTTTTATAGGGGTTGCATATCATTTATCATACCTGCATATCAAATATTTACATTATGATTCATAACAGTGGCAAAATTGCAGTTATGAAGTAGCAACAAAAACAATTGTATAGTTGGGGGTCACCATAACATGAAGGGTCACAGCATTAGGAAAGTTGAGAGCCACTGGGTTAAGGGTTTTCAGTTGACACTGAAGGTACGTTCAACTGTAAGTTGGAGAAAATTCTAGAAAAGTTTAAATATTCTTGAACTGAAGTTTATTTGCCATCTCATGCTCTTAGATCTTGGCTTATAAAACTCAATACAGTGGGGTGGGGCATGCTTACCTTACCAACTCCCAGGGGTTTCTAGAGCCTTCAAAACCCTGGTTCTATACCCGTTCCTTGATTGTTTTGCAGTGCTGAGGTGGAACTCAAGGATCTGAGCATGCTAGGCAGGCGCTCCACCACTGACCCACATCCCAGCCCTCCTGCCTTTTTATTGAGTGTTGAGCTGCTGCCCTGGGGCTAGCTATCATTTTCTACTCTCTGGCCCCAGCTGAGCATGTGGCCCTAGCTCAAGTGGAGGCCCAGGAAATGTTCTAATTGCAGAGACGAGTCTGAATCTGCCTCCCAACGCCAGAAGGAGCAAATCAGCTGAGTCACTGATGAGTGTGGCTGTAATTACTTTTATTTGTAGCTAATTGTTGCCTTATTTAAATGGCAGTAATGAGCCCAGCAGAATAACCCAGCCTAACTAACTGCCTCTTCAAAATAAGATCTGTTGAAGTCAGAGTGAGTTCTGAAAGAAGGATCCCACCTCCTGCCCTGCTAGCATGCTTAATATTTGGATTTTATTTTTAAACCTTCAAATTTGATGTTGCACACTGAGAAACAAGCCAAACAGTCCAAACAAAAATGTATGAAGCGATATGTGTTAGCCTTGTCCCAACCTGAGGGGTCTCTCCAGGGCACATCAGTGTGACTCCCACACCTTATCTCTGCCTGGTGGAAGGTCCTCCTCCATCCTGCCCCCAGGGGTCAGCAACCCTCCAGCCCTTCCCTTATAGAGTCTCGAGAACTCTAGCCTCCCACAAGGAATTGGAAAGCTGCCATCCTCTAACCCTGGTCAGCTGGTCCAAGCTGAAGGCCACCATAGCCTAGCCTTAGAAGAAAACTCAGGACCAAGAGCAGGACAGCAGAAATAAGGATTGGAAGGCAGAGGTAGAGACCCAAAAACCAAGGACCCTCCCCACCACTAAGCAAGGCTTCCTAGTTGACTTTCTGCCTTCGCTTCCTGATCCTTTCTCCCTGGCATTCTCTGTTGTATTCATCATATGGGGAGGTGATGGTCACTTCCTTGTGGCACTGCTGAAGGAAATCAGGCCCTTGGGCCTTTGCCCCCACCCCGGGTTGTCTCTCCTTCCCACCCAGCTCATCTTCTCTGAGACCACCTCTCCCAAGTACTTGCTTCCCTTAAAATAGGCTTTGCATGCCTGGCCAGTGACCTCTGAGGGAGTGGCCTTCTGGATGACAGATGCCCTCTGAGCACTCATCACAAGCAACAAGGAGTCTCAGGGGTCTTCACTGAGTGAGTGGCAGCAGATAGCTCCCTCAGGGAAATTATGTCCCCAATGACACAGATCAACTGGTGGCGCAAGCACAGGGGGCACAGGCAGCCTCAGTCCGGATGCTATCACAGCAGCTCTTAAGCTTGGCAGTGCCAGCCGGATGGCAAAGCCCACACCTAGATCTGTTTGGCCTCTGTCATGTGAGTCCAGGGTCTCCTGACATTATACTCCTTCTTAGGGCCCGGGAAGAACTACTGGAGCAGAGCATGAAAACCTAAAGCCAACATCAAGTAGCCAACAGTGTGCAGTCCAAGAGCCCTGTGCCCCTGACTGGGTGACATGTGGAGGGAGACTCTGACTCGCTTTCGGAGCTGGCCTCCAAGGTGGGCACCTGCTTCTGAAGGCCAAATGGTGTCTGTTTTGCAGAGGTCCAGCACCCCATCATCCCCAACGGGCACATCATCTACAGACTCCGGGGGACACCACATGGGCTGGGGCGAGCAGCAGGGCCAGTGGCTGCGCAGGAGAAGGCTGGATGGGGCCATCAACAGGGTCCCCGTGGGATTCTACCAGAGAGTGTGGAAGATTCTTCAGAAGGTGAGGTGGGGGCTGAGGAATCATAGACTCAGGGGAAATGAGCCAGACTCCACCTGCCCTCAGGAAGCACAATGACCGTGCCAGGTAGCGAGAAGCAGAGGGCTCTAGAACATGTGGCCCCAACCTTGAATGACTCAGCCTGGAGCAAGAGCTCGCTGCCTTGGCCCTATGGCATCTAACGCTAGGTAACTCTACTATGGTACTGTATTGTGCACAGTCACATAGGAAGCAGTGTCTGCTACTGATTGCCAGTGGCATCTCCTGGCCCAGACATGGCACCAAAAGTAGCCTGACATTGTCAAATGGTCCTGCAAGACACGACAAAATAGCAACCCTGGTTGTGTGCAACCAACTTTGACGTAGTTTAGGATCATAGAAAACTAAAGATAGACAAAAAACAGAAAGGACAAGGAAGACTTTGACCATAAATGGTACCATAGAGGTCCTGCGGCATTAACTCTGGATCTGGCTTGAGGCTGACACACAGGGCACTCATATCATTCAACAATGTAATGGAGCCCCTGCTGCCTGCTAGGTCTTGGGAGTACAGAGAAAAGATTCTAGCCTCACTCCAGGAGCCATGTGCCCTGAAGGCACACTCTCCCTCCTGCCCTGGGCTACCCCTGTTTACACGGCTTGACAGTAGAGCCCCCAGAGCCCCCACTCCTTAGCCAGCAGCTCCTGTGGCAATGAGATAGGGGCTGTGCTTCCTTCCCATCTGCCTAGAGGCTAAGATCTCATCCCAGTTTGAAGTTTGAAACTGACAGGAAGTGACATCCACAGACTACACTGCACCACACATACACCTGAATGCAAGAGGGGCTTGTCTTAAACGCCTGCTGCTGAAGTCGGGGTAGCATGGGAAGACGGGTCCTCTTTGTTCCCTACGCCCCACAGTCTGTCTTCTCACACATTCATACTCCCCAGGCTCCACCAGAGCTTGCCTTGCCTCCCCCATGGAGGGCAAGTATGCCTCATTTAAAGGCTCTGCAAAGCAAGACAAATTTCTCCCCCTCCCCCATCATTACATTTTCGCTCATTTCACAGTAGGAGAGGAAAGAACTGCTATAATCCCAAATGAGAACACATGCCAGCTCCTTTGTGAAGTCACAGCCCACTGTGTCTTTCTGCCGCAGGTGCCCAGGGCCAGCCACAGAGCTTCAGTGCCTATGCCCTGTTGGCCAAGGCCTTGCTCAAGATACACTGGGGGGGAGGCAGAGCGGGTATGCCCTCTGAGCCTGCAGATGCCCCAGATCGACCCTTCAAGATTTTTGTGGGGAGCCCTCGGGCCGGTGTGAGGACAAGGCAGCTGTTGCCAACTGGAGGGTAAAAGATGGCCAGTTAGACAAGACTTAGCCATTCTTTGAAAATCTCCTAAGTCTTCTTGGGGCACCATACACTTCCGGCTAGACTTTCATTGGCCCAATACCAAGATGCTTTTCTTATGAAAAAGCAGCATTTTGTATTGCGCCCCATTGGTATTTATATACATGGGTGTGCGTGTGTGTGCATGTGCTCCAGCCTTTTGTGATTGGTGCTTATTATAGAAATCTTGAAAATAGATGGCTGCAAAGGCGCAGGAGCATAACTTCACCAATGGGAGCCATGAAAATCTCCCTTCATTATGGCACCAAAGGGGGCCTGGCAGGCACCCTGGCCTAGTTGCCAAGTGCAATGCAGAGTCTCTTGGGAGGAGGACGCAGCAGCTCCCTAGGACATTGTTCCTGCACTGATCTGAAAGATGCCTGCTGGTCTCCCTAGAATTGTTCCATCGAAAACACAGCCTGTGGGCAGTGAGAACAACGCTCTAAAAATAACCATGACAGTCTGGCATGTTCCAGCCCTCGTGCAGATTTCCAGGGCAAGGAAAGTGTGTGTGTGTGTGTGTGTGTGTGTGTGTGTGTGTGTACACACACATGCATGAGTGTGTGAGCAAGCATACACTTGGAGTTTTCTGGAATCTGACTAAAATATCTGTTCTGCTTCTAGTGCCATGGTCTGTCCATCGATGGTTATGTCCTCCCATCCTCAACAACCCAAGAGGTAGAGTAACAAAACCCAAACACCAGCCCCTCCATGGCTTCGCCTCCTGACTGATTCTTCCTGGGCCTCCCAAGTTTGCTCTGTGTAGCCAGGCCATCTGTAGGTCTGATCACATCAACCACGTCACCCTCAAACTGGGCAAAGGTCCTTTCCTGCCACCCTTTCTCCCTCACTGCCCTCAGAAATACCATTCACAGACTATCTGGGCCCTTAAAACTCCATGCAGACACTATCCCACACACGCTAGACATGTGCAGGGGCCACGCCACCCACACGCTGTCTTGCCTGTGCTGTATTCACATTCACCTCCATGCATTCTGGGGTATCTTTAGCCTTCCAAGCAGGAGGCACCACGCCTCGCACGTCCAAGCATTCTTTAAGAGATTTTTGTCTTATTTTGTTTTTTACCCTATCCAAGGTACCAGACTTTATGCCACAGGGAAGTTCTCTTCTTTTTAAGAGAAATAAGAAATGGTCCCTGTTCCCTAGAAGTCACAGTCCAGTAGGTAGACAAAAGGAGCTAGAACAATGCCAGCTGGCTCTTGGGGAAAAGCAGTCAGCCTCTGCTCCAGAGAGCGTCTGTTAGAGAGTCAAGACAGTGTCCAGAAGCCAGGCAGCTCTTGAGCTGAGCCCCAGCCGTGCTAGGGGAAGCCTTGTCTGTCCCAGATCTCACCCTGGAAATGTACTGATCCCTTTGGTAGATGACCCCATATGAGATCAAGTTTGCTGTCCATGTGGAGTCCGTACTCAACCGCGTGTCCCAGCCCGAGTATCGGCAGCTGCTGGTGGAAGCCATCATGGTACTAACACTGCTCTCAGATACGGAGATGGACAGTATTGGAGGCATCATCCATGTGGACCAGATTGTACAGCTGGCCCATCAGATGTTTCTGCAGGACCAGGTGGGTATGACTAGGCCACCCACTCACCCAGCTGCCAAAGCTGTGGAGTCAGTTTGGTTGCCATTTATCCCTGTTGATGCTGGAGATTGCGTCCAGTTGGAAGGCATATACTCAAACCAGGAAAATGTCATCCCAGATGGTGAACAAATGTCAACCATTTGGTTAGGAAATGGAAAAGTGGCCACTTGGGAAATCAAACAATCTTTGGGGAATCTGGTGTGCATTAGTGTAGGTTTTATTGCAGACACTACCACTTGCCACATACCCGACTCTTGGTAAACTACTTACCCTGTATACAAAATTGAGTCAGGGAAAGAAGCTGTCCTCTTGAAGAATTAGTGCTGAGCAGCTGAAGAAGGACTCTGAGGACACAGCATCCACAGCAGAGGCGGACATTGTCATGCATTCCGCCACCATCTTGCCTGCCTCGTGGCACTGTGAGGTCTACCCTCCAGCCCCCAGCCCCACCCATCTGTAGTCCAGCAGAGCGCCTCTGACGTGCAGAGTGCTTTACGGAGGAGAAAGGTAGATTCCATTCATTTTTTTTCCCTGCTTTTTCTGACTGCAGGTATCATTTGGAGCCATAGACATCCTGGAAAAAGACCAAGCCACGGGAATTTGCCACTCCTTTTATGACAGCGCTCCTAGTGGGGCTTATGGTACAATGACCTACCTAACGAAAGCAGTGGCTTCTCATTTGCAGGAACTGCTGCCCAGCTCTGGCTGCCAGATGCAATAGGGCCTTAGCCATAAACATGAGCACCCTCTGAATGTGTCATTTGTCCCATAGCCTCATTGGGAATTTCCTTCTGCCTTCCACCCTAGATCCCCTGTTCTGTCCCCAAAGCATACCCCATCAGAAAGCTTCCCAGGGAGCAGATGACAGCGCTCAAGCTGCAAGCAGTGTGTGTTTAAGTCACTGATGAAGCCGATGAATCCCCCGCTCCCCTGAGAAGCACCCTGGGATCCTTTGCTAGGTTCATTTCCCTGGAACAATTGTCACCGCATCTGGTCTCATGGATGCCAGAAAGGAACTAGAAATGGGTCTCTTCTGAGTGCAGAGTGAACTGAGAAGCCAGCTTAAATTGGCTCTCACCAAGAGTTACAGAAATAGGTTCGATGAGCTAGTGACACATCTTGAAGGTGGAAAGATCCTTCCAGCAGCAGTAGCTAGACAGGCAGACCTTGACAGGGGCACATCAACAGAGTGCTGAGACCCAAGCTGTTTACCAAACAGAATAATGGTGTCTGCTTGGAATTTTTTCCTAAGCCCTCACTCTGTTCAGGTTCATGTTCACTGCCCAGATGAACTAAATTGGCCCTAGTTAATGCTGGCTGTAGCCTTCAGAGGATCTTGTCCTGCTGTCCAGTAAAATCCCTTATCTTCCAGGATCCAGAAAAAAAAACATCAACAGCAAAGAGGAAGGTGATAGGCAGACTGTTGTTTTAGAATCGAAAGAGGCAGAGGTCCCTGCACCCCCTGAGAGCACCACCATGCCTGCTCAGAGCATGAGTCAGCGTTTGCCATGGAAATTAGTGGTGTGTTCCTGCCGAAACCATGTTCCCTTAAAAACAGCCTGAGAGCCCCCAACCACTGCTCCCAGAAGCACTCTCAGATGGGGATAGTCGGGGCTCTATGGCTGAGAAAGAAGGCTGAGTCCTGGCAAGCTCTGGTGACTCTTTCACCATTGTCCTGGTGAATGGAGTTTCTTTTTAAGCCTTGTCTTCCCCACATTGGGACAGAGACAAACAAGTGAAAGTAGTTTCTGTGAATAATCGGGCCTGAAGGACCAGGTCACCGGTGCTGTGGCCAAGCACTCCATTCCCATCTGCTGTGACAGGTTCCGATTCACAGTGACTCTTCACCTCAGAAATGGAAACAAGGCTGTGGGATCAGCTTCTGGAAGTTTGTGTGGAGGAGAAGGGAAGATGGTGCTCGGAGGTGCATAGTGTGCCCCAGAGTGGAGACTCAGGACTGACTTGACTTTATTCTCAAAGGAGAAGGTGGCAGAGTACTTAGCACATCTAGGCATTTCTAAAGGAACATTTATCTGCTTGTGTGTATATGTCTGTGTGAGGGTATGCCACCTGTGTGGGAGTCCCTGCAGAGGCCAGAAGAGAGCATCAGCTCCCCAAGAGCCAGAGCTATCAGCAGTTGTGAAGCACCCTGACATAGGTACTGGGAAGCAAACTCAGGTCTGGAATGGCAGCAAGCACTTTTACCTGCTGAGCCATCTCTCCAGCCTTCTTGTAAAGCAGGGTCAGAGTCATGTAACTGACTGGCGGGTTCCCTGGTAGATAATGTCAAACATGCAGTGAGAATGAAACAAGGCATGAAGTGGCCAGTGCTAATGGGAGAAGTTCTAGAAGTGGAGCCCTTCAGACTGGGCCCAGTGCTAATCCCGAACACTCTTAGCCTGCCAGTGGCTGTGACGTGAGAAGTGGCAGCTGCTGGGCTGGGCTCAAGATGAGACTTTGGCCAAGGAGATGAGCCGCAATAAGCAATTCACTGCAGCGTCCCAGCCACTCTGAAATCTCTTTCAAATGAAGGCCTGAAATAGGACTGCGTTTCCACAGGCAGCAAGCTGCCAGCTTCAAAGGAAGAGAGTCGGCTTCTGAGACAGACGATCCATTTAGTGAACAGCCAAGGCCATGCCCAAGAGGGACAGATGTTTTAGAAGATGATGACAATCTCCTCCTGACACCATCCTTGCCCAGAGGTACTGGTAGGGAGAAGGCCTCGTAGCCCCTGTGGACTTGGCTGGCTATTCCCCAACTCCCTGGGGCATGGCAGGAAGTCTCTTTCCTGTCTTCCCTCCCAAAGCTGAAAAGCCAGTTTTTAACCTTTGCAGGGGATGAGAATGTGGTCTCAGAAGACATATCAGTGAATGCAGGCATTAATTTACTATTTAGCATACCCAGTTGAAAGGCAGTAGGCTGCCCTATGGTCTGCTTATCCCAGTTTTGCCAAAGGTAAGCTCACTCTTCAGGCACTGACACCAGTATTCGATCTTGGGTGAGAGAGTTGACATTTGTGTGCCTAAGTTTACCCATCTGCAAAAAAGTACAAGACCTCCCGACTGGACAGAATCTTTCTTTGGCAGTTAGGTGACCAGACCCTAGGACAACACCAAGCCGTGTGTGTGTGTGTGTGTGTGAGAGAGAGAGAGAGAGAGAGAGAGAGAGAGAGAGAGAGAGAGAGAGAGAGAGAGAGAGAGAGAGAAGGAAAGCTAGGCTATGTCCAATAGCTCCAGGTGAAATTCTTCCAGGTTAGTCTGCCCTTCCTCTCCGTCATAGGAAAGTGTGGGTGTCAGACCTCAGCTTCCCAGATAGGAAGAATGTGAATGCTTCTTGTAGAACAAAAAGGAGAGCCCACCAATCAAGAGGCAAGAGAAACACTTTGCCAGTTGATTGATGCCATTTATTTCTGGACAAGATGACAGGAGGTTTGGCCTCTCTTTCTATAAATACAGTGGAGTTGTCTCTCCATTCTATTGACTTGTACACAAGTCCAACAAATCACCTTTGACTTTCCTGCTTGCTTGTTGCCAAAGGGGACAGCTATCTCCCATCTCTCCCAGTGTGCCATTCTCTTTCAAGGTGACTCTAGCTTTTGAAGTCCCTGCCATCTGCCATGTGCAGCTCTGTACTTTGCAGGATAGAAGAACATCATGTTCCCAGAATGCCTTCTGTTCTCCCAGACATGGCCATTGATAGTTCTGCTTGTGAAGAAAAAAGCAGCACTTTGACCTCAGAGCTCAGTCCCCCTTGTCTGTCTCCGTCAGAAAGCCGCTTAGGAAAGGTCATAACCTTGAGAGAATTCTCAGAGGAATGAGATCAGTTACTAAGACGAGCTTCCAATCTTATGCTGTGTGCCTGATTGATGATAGGGAGCTAGCTTTCTAAGAGAGTATATGTGTGTGTATTTTTAAGGGACTATAATGCCTTCTTAGAGGTACTGGAATCAATAGAACCAGTGAACTCTGAACTTGTGTGACTTTCCCCTTGCCTTACTGCAGTACCAAACTGTTGTGAAAACTGAGCAAATGAGTCTGAAGGCATGTACAGCATAGCATGCCTTCCATGGCCAGGCATCGCTAACTAAGCACATAGGAACTCAGGCATGCACAGGGGCGGGTAACGAGCAGCCTGCTCATTTCTGAAGCCCTCAGAGGAAGGGACACTGAGCAGGCTGCTGATCTGAGAGTTCTTCATGCTGATCTGTTGACATTCACATCTCAGTTCTAAATCTGGTGGCTGCTGAAGCCTTCCACCTCCCGTTAGTGCAGCTTAGGTGCCAAGCTTTGCAAAGGACAGGACTTGGGGTTGGTCATGCTGCATCTTCATTGGGCGCAAGGGATAACTGCTTCCATAGCTCCTGTGTGTGTGTGTGTGTGTGTGTGTGTGTGTGTGTGTGTGTGTGTGTGTGTGTGTGTGTGTGTGTGAAAGAGAGAGAGAGAAAATGTGTGTAGATGTGTGCACTGGTGCACATTTAGAGGCTAGAGGAAGACACTGTGTCCCCTATCGCTCTCCACATCCATCCCTTGAAGCAGGGTCTCACTGGATCTGGAGATAAGCTGGAAGCTAGTGAGCCTCCAGTTTCTGCTCTCCCACACGCCCCACTCGTGTGTGCCTGTATCCAGGTGCACACATGATGTTGGACCTAGAAGCATGTGTGTGGCTGCACCTTACTTTTTCATGAGTTATGGGGGGGTCTAAACTCAGGTCCTTCTTGCATAGCAATCACTTTGACCTGCTGAGCCCCAGCACCACCCACATTTCCTATTTTGAAGGATCACCCCAGCTGCATATTCAGGATGGACTTACGAAGGAGAAATACTAGCAATTGACTCAGCTCTCATGGCTGTAGCATCACTTTTGGCCAAATGTCTCGGTTCTTTCTTATTTGCAAGTAACAGAATCAAACTTTAGCTGGGTAAATACAAATGATGTTCCATAAAGAAGACTGGCTAAGTCACATATCACCAGGATCAAATCTCCAGATTGCTCACATCTAACAGATGCCCCTGATGCAGGATACTGCCACCAAGACCAGTTGTGCCACTTCTGCCCTTCTGGAAACTGAATGTAGGGGTTGCCACCTGCCATTAGCCTGGACAGCAAACAGTCACAAGCTGCCAGGACAAGGCCTTGGGCAGGAATGCAGTGTCAGCTGGTGGAAGAGGCCATTAGCTGGGCCTCTGCCTGCCTTCTACAGTTGAGGCAGACTCAACCTCACAATGTGGGGATAATGAGTAGGGCTGAGGCCTGCCATCCGAAACAGATGTCATTCCAGCCAGGCGTCTAGTTTTTGTGCTGTGTCCAGAAAAGAACCCCTAGATCCCCCACTAACCCCCAGGTGTCTGAGCCAAACAACTGGCCATTGAAGTTGTGTGGCAAGAATGCAAAGAACGCGTGGGAATGCCACCCCTGGCTGGAAGCTAGACAATTGGATGGTCTCTTTAGAAGTACAACTGCCGAATCACAGTTGTTAGATCACCACTGGTATCCAGGGACAACCTCCCTCCACCACCACATAGTCGTTAGCTTCCAGCGAGCTGTCATGTATCTGTCCAACAAAGCTTGGGGGAGTTGCCGATGGACCACACATTCTTCGTGACCACAAGCCCAGTCCCATTAGGTTCTCTGGACCCTGAGTGACAGCCCATCTGGAACAAGATGCAAATGATTGTCACATCTTTCCTTCTAAGCCACTAGCCAGCTGGGGGATTTAAAAATAAAGAATTGGAACAGAATCCTGGTATAAGCCT